ATACGCACCCTTCCGTGAAAAAAATCACACTTGAATTTATCACTAGAATAAACAATTACATCAACATAAACAAAATGTCGACTGATCGACTGGTGGCGGTTTTCATTATTTAGAAACGATTTATTTTTTTGCTATGGCAGACCTAGAGTTGTATGCACGTATAACGAGGAAAACGCCTTTAAGCGGCAACGTTTTCGCTTTCCACGTCAAAGCAGCCTAATGCAATAAAATAGTAATATGAATTTTATTATTATTATTATCCCTTGGTGTATGGCATATTTTCGGGAGATATATAACCATGACTACTTTGATTTAATAATACTTCTATGATTATGAATGCATTTTTTTTTCTATATTGTTTGTGTAGTTTGTACAATGCGCGTAACAACAAATATAAATAAATATATATATCTACTCGTTATTATAGTTGCTATCATCATGTGTCCTGTCTTATGCAAAACAGGCATTTCAAGTTTTTTGCGTTGACACCAAAACGTTAGTACTAAAATAGCGGCGGTATCGGTCTTGTTTGTAACCGCGTCTATTGGCAGCATCAAACTGTCACATATTTATGCGCGGGCCGTGTAAGCCAAGGCCTATTGTTCCATCCCGAGCATTCAAGACTAGAAAGTTAGTAGCGGAGCCACTTCCAGAAATAAATTTGGCGTCATCCCAGGCTATCTGGCTATGTCTACGTGGCTAATTTTGGCGATCTGGGCTTTTGCAGCGGCGTAACGGTCTTTTAGACCTTACCGTGTGCTACATAATTGTCGTCACATCCCTGTATGTGTTTCCTGTTAGGCGACGCTTTTTGTGAAATTGCAGTCTATCTACTTATATGATAACAGGTAAAACCAAAACAACAAGAAAAAAAATTGCGGTAAAATATTCTAACACAGGTGCTACGAATACCATGACGTTTTGGTAAGACATCACTGAGTTATTAAATTTAACGAATCGTAAACGACCTCGGCATAACAGGTACAATTGAGACAAAAGGGGAAAAGGCAGTAACACAGCACCAACGAGCAGCTTATAGTGCAATTGGCTGCAATGCAACTTATTCAATCTTGTTTCGCCCTATGACAAAAAGAAATATCGAATTCCGACAGCCATCGTCGTTTTGCGACTGATGTAAATAGGGGGCAATACTACGAACGTACTGGTCGATTTTGCAACAGCTGCTGCAGCGCCGGAACTCTGATCGAGGACTATTTGAAGTCTATGTTCGGGTCTGTCACAAAACTCAATCCACCTATGTCGTTTCGCCTACAACGGCAGGGTGTATCCACTTGCTCCGTAATGTTTCTTTGACGCTGTGGGATACTCTCAACAAATAATTATTATTATAGTGGCACACATAAACGAAACCGTTGCATTCTGTCACGCTTTCATTGTGCCGATTCCCAACTGACTTATGACATTTTCACTGCTGCAAGCCCTTTTCTTGCGTTTCTCGCTGGATCTCTTGTAGAGTGTGCTACGGGCTACCCCTTGACAACAGGCAGATATGTCTTGTTTCATTATCGGTCTCAACGCGGCCTAGCATGGCTATACAAGGCTGAGTGCAAGGTCGTCCGAGGCAAGTCAAACAGCGACTTGGGACTAGTTGATTTCTTATACAATTAGCGATCAATCATTAGCGAAGTGGACAATGGCCTCGTTTCGAAGAAATCAACTGGTTAGATAAAGCTAAGCTTCTGCTTTCTAACGGAAACTAAAGCTCCTCACATTGATCCTGCGCGACCAGATCTGCGAAGATATCGAACCTAATAAAACTGGGATTATGATGTCAGTCAAATACTGTTAGGAAATATTACGATACTGTTCCCGACTATTGAGTGTTTAATAAATGGACGCGAGGCATTAACGTTTTTTGATTGAACATTTTTGTTGATGGGAAACGGCAAACTTGTCTACACGACCGTTTTTACCTCGTTCAGTTGCTGTATCGTGTCTTTTATGATTAATTAACAAATTCGAGTTACAGATTTTATTGATATAATAGAACATATATTGGGCCAGGCAGGCTTGCGCCAGTATGTGACAATAGCGACAATGTAAGTAAGGCATAACGAGCACAGTCGTGTTTTATTGGTTGCAATAGATACGCAGAATTTGCCCTGCTGTTCTTCTGCGTCATCGATAGTATAAGCGTTAGGAATACGGGTATATTGTTCGAGTAGCTTCATGCATAGTCTATGTAGGACTCTGAAAGGCTGCCGTAACGTGCAGTCCGACGGCGGCTTCGGGACTTGGGTGAATACTTATTCGGACGCGTTCGGTGAACGTTAACGAACGTTGAAAAATATTCATGCGTTTACGGATTCCTCATGGGACTCAGCACGGGCCGAGAGACTTTAAGCCCCTAACTGTTTAACAGGCCTGCCGTCGTAGACGGTGTCAAATCAAATCCCAGCTATCATATATGTATTTGCCCATATTCGCAATAATTGTCCTTAAATAAACAGTATAGCGAAGCAGAGTGTATCGAGACACCCAAGGGGACACCAGCAGCAGCGATCGATAAGTGCAAAAGTGTTCAACCTAGAATCCTCCATATGTTACCGAAATTATCATTTTCGATAATGTTCGATAAAGTAGAATCTGCAGTGACAGTTATCATCAGTCCGCTCTAGGCTCACTATGACCATTACATCGATTACCCAATGTATATTGGTAGTAGGGTAAGTTTCTTGGCAGTTTAGGTCGTTATATATTATATACAACAGACTACCTAGCTCCAACTTGTACATATGTCTAAAAATGTAGGTGCCAGAAGATTGTAATTCCGAGTATCGTCTAACTGAACAAGTATTGTCTGATACACCTCGTCAGCTACAATAAAAAGCATACGATATGACAAGGTTGCGTAGCGACGAATACGACTCCGCAACTTTCTGCGATCAGCCTACGGTCAGGCGCCCTAATGCCTATGCGTGTGCCTATGTACGTCCGATAAACAGACGTGCCACGCTGTACCGAGCCTTCGCGTATGTCGCGTGGGTGTTTTGTGAAGGCTAAATACTACCTGTTTGTCTTCCTGTGGATACTCTTCAGCCATTTTTTGTCTTCGCTACTTACATGTAGTATTTACGTTGAAGCTGTCCAAAGCGGGAATACGATGGGGACGGCCTGGAGGTGGCAGAAGGGGCGGGCGGTGGCGTTAGCTAAAACAGTACTGAAAGATGAACCATCGTGTCAGGTAACCGGTTGCAAAAGCTTGCCTGGAGACTCCATGGTATACTATAATATTAGAAATAGAAATTAACTACACTAGCGAAGGGTGAAAAGCATACTTACAGAAGGATTACTATCCTAGAAACAAAATAAGTATATACAGGTAGCGCTGGTGGGAGTTTTCATATCCTTGCTGACACGAAGGCATTACTTTAGAACTAGTTTTGTTTTATTTGGCTTTGTTTCGGCTCGACTTTGTTGCCTGGGATATGAGATGTTTATCTATTTGCGCGCATAATATGGCTAGTTAACCGACTTAATCTTTTCCAGAACACCAACGAACTTTACCGGGTTCGCCTCGAGAATTTGCTATTTGTGTTGAACTATGCTTCCTTACAACGATAGACGATACCTTTCAATGATACGTAATATATCGATAGTGAATCATGGGCAATCAGCTTATGTTTTCTTGCTTAGTACTGCCTTGTAATCTATAATTTGGCTCTATGCTTGCACTCATAGCGTAGGTAATCGTAGTTAACTTGTTCTGCTCTACGTCCAATACTTGAGCCATTCGAAATCAGTCGCTCGTAGGATCGCCGCTATGTACGCCGATGTTTCGTTCTCGTGATGGCATAGTGGTATCTAGGAATACATGATGGTCTGTGCTGAAGGCCGAACATTGTTTTGCTCTAGTAGGGGCCAACCATGCGAAGCTATGCTCAATTACGGCGGTAGAGCGGGGCGTAAAACTGTTATGTGCATTTCGATGTAGTCAATGTAATGGCAGCGACACATGAGTTGGCAGGCGTTAGTTTGATCTGCCTAAATGAAGCTGCATCTTCGCTCACAGACAGTATGAGATACTACACTAAAGTAACCACAGATTTTTGTCTTAAAAGGATTGTTTGTTGAATGCCAGTTTACTCTGAAAAAGAACAAATAGTTGTAGGAAATCAACTTCCTGTAGCTTATTGAGAAGAGTTTTGGTAACTTTTAAAAAGGTCATCTAATGACCTTTTTCTGTGCCCAATTTGCTGAAATAGATGACGATACTTGTATTCAGGACGGGGGGAGGGCTAGCTGCTCATCTACTACGGGAAAACTCGGCCTGCAGTTGTACACAGTAGGTATAAAATAAGAATAACATTTATATCGAGCATCGATTTATGAACTCTGGCTGAAGTACACTCAAAAGAGTGTACTAAAATGTACTAAATTATATTATGGAGTTGACTAGCTTTTTTGCGTTAGAATTTCTAGTGTATCTGAATTCTATTGTTAGGCTGGATTAGCTCGTCTAAGCCTGGCAGGTTCTACTGCAAAATCAGGTTATAAAACTGGTTTGCGTCCTTTCCGGTACGTCCTTTTTAATAAATACACCGAATCTTTTTTACGACTGCTATTTCCTTAATGAACTTTACATGCAGCGCATATTATCACTCTTCCAAAACATGCTACCGGATCGTCAGAGACTTGGAAAAAAATTTAGAAGATACATACAAAGAATGGACAAAAACTACCTAGACTTTCTGGTGCAGGAAGTCCTACGTCTGCCTACCTTTTTATTTCTAACTAACCTTTACAATAATTATTACGAACCTGACTTTTTAGATGATCAGGCACATCGACTCGGAAAAATAAAATGGTCTCTATTAGCGTGTCGACATCGCCCGTCCATTTCATTAAAAGCACTTTATACTCGAATGTGCTGCAAAAACCAACCTGGAATCTAATGGGAATAAATTCTAGACTACATGTATTGCGGAACATGGGTAGCTCGTGTCACTCATGCCAGGTAATATTCCACCGTTCTCCTGAGTTTGTTGTCGATTTTGCCGCTACGTATTATGTAACACTGTCAATGGCATGGCCTTGCAGCTCTTCAAAGTGCTCTCTACGTGACTTTGGGTAGTCTGTATTGTTTCTTAAATATTGGTATCTGCAAAAATGGGTTGCCTATCATCGAACCTTAACTTCCATCCTGCTTTCTATTCAAAGCAATAGGTTTACACATTTCAATAAGGCTACATTTCCAAATGCACCGGTCACATGCATCGGTTTGTGCCTATAGGGATTTTTAAGTGTGACAGACACGCGGTAATACCGTTCTACTTTAACTTATTGACATGTCAAAATGTCCCTAAGCGTACTTATTTTATCATTGATCTGATCAGCGAAACGCCAACTAATGGTCCTTGTGGTTATAAATAATTCGTTCGAGCAAAATTCGTTCGGTATTCTGTTTAGTTCAGGATTTAGCGCAGACGACGTCGATATCGAACGCATAATGCATTTCAAATACTGTATAACGTAACCACTACCATAGAGAACGACGTTATCTCGTCACCATTGTTTAGACAAAATTCTAATGTGCGGAGTGCTGATAGCAAGTTATCAGTATGCAGAAGCATGGTAAATACTCCCCTAGATGGTAATAAAAAAAAAATGACTCACTGAACAGCATCAGGTTAGATAATAAATTATTTAAAATTGCTTTGTTACGGGTGGACGCTGTGTGGAACTGAAAGCCCGCTCATTTGTTTATTCCCATCCAAGAGGCACAATGCTGGAAATGTTCACGCAATTTCATATAGACAATAAATCACAATTACTAGTGATAGTTCTTTCTATAATTCCGAGAAATATTTCGGTTCCCTATGGCGTTGTCAAAGAAAATGTCCTGTTTGCTAACGGATTCTATCACCTATCTTCTCATTAGGAAAAGGTCTTGAACACATTCATTTTACCAGTTTGTCTATAGAACAGATCAGCTTAGCTTGTTGAATCTGAGCTGCTGGCATATCTTCGTTTGCAGATTTTTATTTCTGAATTTTGTTTTCTTCAACCAATCTTCATGAGCGGACTTAGTGAAATGCTAATACGTTCTGTGGAAACCCATGTATCTGAAGTTCTTTATAACGTCAATAAGTTCGTATTGGTTAGGATCGTTTAAAATCTTCACGAAACGTAACCAGTGAACCCGACGCTAACCGATCATTAAGAGCAACATCGCTGACTAGGTAATAGTGAAGCATACCCTATATGTTTATGCGCAATATTGTTTGCGCCAGTATGTTTCTGCTGTATTCGACATATTGTTTAATGGTACATAACTTTGTCCTTAGACTTCAGGTTTCTTTAGACTGACTAACCCTTCAACGCACATATGAGTGGTCAACCTGTCTCGATAATAAGCTGCGTCGCAAAAGTACAGTGGCTTGCGAAAATGCTTTATGGGAAAGGTACAAGTCGTGCTGGGATTTGTCTCTAGAGTAGTTGTAGTTCGAACAAGCTGCGATGAGCTGATCTTGTTCTGTGCCTGAAATAGTTCAGGCGAGCACGTGAAATTGGAGGCTTGTTTGTCCTGTAGCGTTGCGTCGGCGAGTTGGGCTTACAAGCTTAATCCCCGAGCTCCTTTGGTGCGCAAGTAGTTGAATTCATTAACAGTACTACTATGGGGTGCGGTCCTACCGGTGGCATGTTTAGCAGAAAAATCCGTTCCAACAGGCGACCTATTTACGCACTGCTCGAGAGTTAATTTTAGGCGTTTTAGTTTCTCTTCTTAACCACCGGATTCCGTATTAATTTAGGACACTTGATAAGGCCTCGACAACGTTACATGTTGGCAGCCGATGAGATAAAGTCACCTAAGTTCCTTTTTTCCCTAGCTCACGGTGCGGACTTTGAAAAACAGGTCTAAGCCGAGCAATCGTTCCAGTACAATCACTTTCTCCTTTTATAAAATGGAGCTTGCAAAAAACAAACATTGATGTACTCTTTTTCCGTAGTTGAGGGAAATGCACCTTGTAAAAATAGACGTTACGTGTAGTTCGGCCCGTCAAAAAACCTTAGAACTAGCTATAACAGTACGTCTTGCGTAAATAAGTTTCTCAAGTGGGCGCTATAAAGTCGTGCAGGTAGGTCGTCAAATGACGAAATAACGGCGAGGAGCAATCGTAGAGGCCGACACAATAGCTCATTACGGAGTGAAGAAACTACGATTTCGGACCGTCTATCGAATGTCAAGTATTAGAACTTGACCTCGTTCGCTGTACGACTGTAGGGCTCTCTAGAAGCTAGCAGATATCGTCCTTCTCTGAGTGTCCTTTTGATATGTATATCACTTCAGTACACGTTTCGTGCAACCCCGTAACTAAGGTATGATCACATAATGCATTCTGCATCGCTCGAAGCCATTTTGCCGCTCATGGATTAATCAATAGTTTTCGTGTAACATGGGAAATAGTAATAATACAGTTGGCGGAAATGATGAATACAGGATGAAGTATGTATACTTCATCCTGAATTGGGTCAGCATAGCCAACATGGTTGCTACCGCTGTCATTACCAATTTGTTGATAAATAATTTCGGTCTACCGTAACTTAAAGTAGAGCATTTGCCAGTGAGCTTGGTGGCAATAGCTCAAAGAATATTTGAGGAACCTGATTAAGTGCTGCAAGAAGGGAGCGGTAAAAGGGATTCTTGTCAAGAAAGTGTATCATGTTCTCTGGAGAGCTCCTTAACCGAACCCTTTACGTATAGAGTACACGTATTCCTTGACCAGCTGTCTAGAAGCTGAAAGCAAATGTGGAACTGGCCTAAAGGTCGACTGCAGCTAATTTACGACGTGTAGCATTGTCATAGACGATGGTCATACACTGTTTCAATGAATTATGGCAAAAACAGTTTGCCATTCCATAGAATTCTCCAATCGAAAAGCGCACTGTTTTCATTTACGTTATCATTATTATTGTTATTACTACTATCGATTATTTTTATTCCGTGCCTCTTACGTATGCCTAAATGGTATTAATTCACCGTATGAGTTATGCAGTCCAACAAAGTCTATTGCAAACAGAGTCCCCGGGGTACAGCGTTTCGATTAAGCTCTCCGAACTTAGACGTAATGCTAGAAGTGGTTTTAACAATAGAATCTGCCAGACATCTTGGGCGGCGTATCCAGCCGTAAGGAGCCCATGTATATGTACTGGAGTATAGGTCCTGGGAAAGCCAAAAACTGACAATGGCTGAAATATTCGATATGTCGACATGCGCAGACCTGTCTGTAGCGATTTCGTTGGAGCGTTGGTTGCCAACGCTTCTGAGTGGGTTGTCAAAGCAAGGCCTTCGTTATACTAAAGGTGTTCAGTACCGTTACCTAAAACATTATTGCTATCAGTAGGATGAATCGGCAAACAGCTGTTAAGTCGATTTATAGATGGAATAAGTACACATTACGTAGCCCGTAAACGATGTCCTGATACGGCATCCTTAAATATGCACGTGGCGATGGTGGGTTAGTTTACAGCCATCGCCTTTGTACAGTAATGCATAGATCCACTATATATAGGTTTGTATACTAGGTCTGTATGTTGTGTATGCACGGGTATGAACAATCTGTGGAAGACGAAAACATCTACATCATTGCGTTTGTGGGGCCTGTTTTCACAGAATTGTTCCTCATTGTGAAACAGATTATTGACATTCATAGAAGATGGGCTTGCTCATGCGACTCTGTGTGACAGTGGGGTTCTTTGTTGATGATTTTTTAGTTGATTGTGCGTCGGCTTCTGCAAAATTTGTGCGGCTTAACTGGACTCGAATTTTCTGGACGCAAAACCAGTTAATGTGTAAGTGCCCTATATTAATGCAGCATTAATATCCATATTTACATATATATCAGGCAGTTGGTGGTGGTATCTTAAGTCAGGTTCCTAAGACTAGGTGGAGCTTTAATCCTCGAGTTCTTCCAGCTGGGATTAAATCCGTTTAATTTTTATATTTATGTGCTGATTTCTGAGTTAATTACGATTAATTTCTGAGATAATTACACGATGTTAGTCCCTAATTAGCGTGAATCTAGTTGAAGATGATTGGTCATTGAGGCCAAACAAACGTATGCCATAGAGTTCATGTGTATCATTGAAATGAAGACCATTGTCTTCACCTCCGACCGACATCCCCATCTGACCTCTCATTACGTAGTGATAATTGTACCTGATGGAGGCGGCTTAATCCGTCTTTCACGAAGCATTATCAACTCGGTTTCTCGATTTTAAAAAGCATACAGCTATGAATGATAATGTGAAAAATGTTATAGAAGAACGCATTTCGTATATGGCTATTTGTGTTGACGAAGACACCGTTTTCACTGTTTCCCAAGGAACGTACAAAATATTATGTGAGGTAAAAAATAACGAAGTGGAAGGCGTCTGGATTCCGTTAATGAAACCCGCGTGGTCCAATGCAAGCTCGAATTTGATCGAAAGTTGACTCGATCAAGTTAATTTTTTTGGCAATATAGTAATCTCTGTCTGTTCTTGGAAGAGAAAAGGTCTTGCCGCTTATGCAAAAATTGACCTTTTTTTGTCATAGTACTTTTTTGTTTGTTCTGAATAACTTGCTGGCCCTAGCGATGCTCTAGATTAACGTTAAACTCCATAAGCTAATCCAGTGAGGAAAGTAGATGCTGCTGATATCAACTGCTTTATTTCGAAGTCAATATCTATTCGTGTGACCTTATAAATTTGTCGTATCTTGAATATTATAGTGCAAACATATTGAAGTAACGTTTTGTCTTTGCATCTTTTTTGTTCTCTGTTTCTTTGCCGATGATTACATATGTCTGCGTCAGCGGCGAGGGAGCAAACACTAAGAAGCAAAAAAAAAAGCTTATTTAAATTTGTCATCGATTACCGTCTATTTTTGCGTCACTCAACTAGGGTATCGAGCTTCCTATTGTACCTGCAACATCAACTAACATATTGCTGAATTCGTATCAAATTGTAGGATACCATAGAGGATAGGTTAGCTGTTATCAATTAAATCTTTTATTCTGTGCCATCGTCATTGTTTTCAGCTGGCCTTACCGTGTTCGGAAATGGCAATGACGTTGATATATCTACATGTTACAGCTTGAAAAATTGTAATTGAGAAGTTGTGAATGAATAACCTAGGAATTAACAGGTGACCAGAGCATCGCTGTTGGGAGCTTTGTTTGGGCCTTAGTTACGTTCGGCCCAAAAACGATTTGGTTGTCGCATATGTGCTAGTTAAGCGAAAACATTTTATTGGTGCATGGAGGGTTTCGCCGTGCGACGTGGAGGCTGCCGGGGTTCCGGACAACTCGACGCGGCCCTGGCCGAACTGGGTATGCTTGCCACCGTCACGGACGCCCGTCGAGAGTACCTGCAAGAGGCATTAAGCGTCCGTGAAAACAACAAAGACAGCGTACACCATCTTCACTTCAACTCGTCTCTTATACATTCGCATAACGTCCAGCAAGACAACGCCAGCTGGGGACAATTGGGTCAGGGAAGGATGCTACGCAGGTTAATTCGTGACGAGAAACGGAGATTGCTGAAAGGGCAGGGACATTTACCTCAAGAGCAACACTCGGGCCAGCAACAACAGCACAGGTTAGTAAAGGTATCCGCGTGAAATGCTACAAAAATTTAAAATATGTGAGAGGACTTAGGTTCGGTGTAAGTTAATCGTTGTTTTAAGGTAGAATGTCTTTTACTATCTAAAGGCTTAGCTAAACACTAACTTAACGAGTAGAGTCGGATACCAAATTTAAAACCATTTTTAGATCTTTCAAACAAGAACAATGCGTGATAGTCCAGAAACCCGTTTACTTCTAGTTCAACGATTCAAAACACGTCAAGAATCTATATCCTTCGTGATGTGTTACGTTTCTTTCCCTCATATGTACACGGAAACTGAAAAAGATTCATCGATGGCGCTCTTTAGTATGGGCGTGAATTATTCTATAATTCACATCTGTTCTAAATGCTTTGTATCATCTAGCCATGCATGTAACGGTTCTAAACGGGGTTACAGGCTGACATCGATCTCGTTGGGTGTCCCACCATCTTCATACAAAGGGTGGGACACAGAAAGGACGGTGCCACTCATAAGTTTAGCTCGAAAGGACGTGAAATATTTTCCTCAGAGAACACATCGGTCGGCATCCGTTTCCCGAGCAAGGCACCTGTTCATGGTAAGTTGCGCGATTAAAAACATAGCTTTTTTTATTTAACCGTTGCGAACAAATTAAGCAAAGCTAATCAAATTCAATCACAACGGAACAATTGCCGTTGAAAGTTCGTTTAGTTGCGGATCTAGCAAATTTTAATTACTTTTCCTTGTTTACTTACTTGGCTTAGCGAAGAAATTTATGGGAGAAATTCCAAAACATCTAAGTAGAATGTAGATTTGGTAGCTATGTAAAATGGGTGTAAACTTAGATTAATATAAACAATAACGATGTTACAATAATTTATTGTGTTATAAATGTCTTATGCAATGTTTTTTCATTATTTTTCCGAGAACATGGACGCTGTGAAGAATGCAGTTTCGTAAATAAATGTAAACAGAGAGTGTACGGTTTTACGTATTTTGAAAAGTCGCATTAACATGCGCATGCGCAGTCCAAGTGTTGTGCCGATTTCACCTAAGGAACATACCTCTGTATCTAATATTTAGGATGTCACAAGTACAGTGGCCAGCATTAGCAAAGCAAAAGTTGTAGTCACTTTGAAGAAAATGATCTTAGTTTGGCTTCAGCAAGGTTCTTGGAATACGAACATATCAAAGATATATGGCGTGATTTAGCAGAAAACCTTATCAGCATTATTGATAAAATCCCAAGTTCAAGACCGTATTGATCTGGTTGTTTTCTTTAGGTTGAGTGCCAGATTTAAAATTTACTGCATATAGCTTATGGCATGCATTTGATAGCATTACCATTATTATACTAATATTACGTAAGTCTGCATACCGCTAAGAATCCCACGGCGCTTCTCGGCTATAGATAGAAGAAGTAGATAAGATGTCTTGCACGTGCTAGGAGTTGTCATTTCTGACGGTAATGGTTATTCAATAGAAATGTCATTACAGCCTCAATCCAAAATCTATATAAGGCTCACTAGTAATTTTCAAACTGTTCGTTTTTTAATCTGCAATAGCTTTTTAATACTGGCCCACTGCAAACGGATCCGGCAAACTTTGAAACTGAGTAAGTTTTAAACTATGCGCCGTTAGCAGACGAAATTTGACTGGCAAATATTCCAGTCGTCTAGAAACTGCGTATTGCTTAAATACGCTGCATACAAACAATTACACCGTCCCTAATTTCCGGATCTATAGTATGCTAGAAGTGCTAAAAGTGCAAGAGCTCAGAACGGTTGATTAGTTCAAAAAATGTGAAAAAAGCGCCGATTAGCGCTTGACTGGTAAATTATATCGTGGATAGTGTTCATAGGAAAAATCCAGGTGTATCAAAAATGGTATTTTCAACCGTTTTGACAAAACTTTCGACTTTTCGAGATTCAAACTTTATCGTGGATCTTCCGCTTTGCCTTCTGATTTTTTAATTTCTTAAGTCGACCGACAACTGAAAATAACAAAAACGCTGATTTTGAATAACAACAACAACAAAAAAAAAAATCTTAAGGGGGGTTAATCGCGTGTGGACACATTAAATAATGGTTGATCTTCGTTCAATCTCTGAAAAACGACTTAATGTTTTTTTTGCCATGACGAGAGTTACTGTTTTTTTTCTAGAAAAGAGCCGCTTTTTCTATTATTAAGAGAAACGAACTAACATATATGCGCCATCATAAAGTCCTAGGTATATATGAATTGATCTTGATTTATTCAATGTACAATTCCCGCCATGGTTTACAATCGAATCAGTTTTAGGGCCTATACAATGCATTCAGACGTGAGCATACTTAGGAATACAATCAGTAAGGTTTTTTATCTCTTAATATAATTAATTTTATAAATTCGCCATAGCATATCTCCCGTACTGCCATTATCATATTTTCCTAGGACCCTAACAATACTTCGTAATCTTCTGTCTGTTTGATTCTCGGCGATCCTGAAGCCCTACGATCGTGGAGCAGGCTACGTACAGCCTCGGCCTTACGCGCTACTTCCGGTTTCGCCCGCCGCAGATAACCATTCCGAGTACAGTTTTCACCCGCATAATCAAGGCCCTATTCATCATTTACATCCAACAGTCGGGCTTAATAGCAGTGATCAGCATCATTCACCAACATCGTCGCACTTAACGGGTCTACAGCTACCGACGTTACGGCTTCCCATTGCGGGACCACAGAACAAATCGAATCCGCCGTCACCCGTAAAAAGCAATCCTTTACTGCTTGATATTAGAGGTGGAAATGGCAGTCTTGCTGGGATTGGTGCCCCACTCGTCCGTTCAAAAAGTCTCGATAATATTGCATTCTGCCCGCTTACGAGTATTGTGGATGAATCGGCCTACGAATTAAACGACTACTCGTTGAACAGCTCAGCATCGATGACTCGGCAGATGACGCGGGTGGACACCATTGTTGAATCAGTTTCAAGCCGTATAAGCAGCTTGCAGCTGACCGCGAACTAGTCCAGGCAGAACTTAGAAAGATACTAATTATTAATCTAGTTGAAGCTACCGAAACGAATTTGATTAATACACATACGAAAATTACGTAGCAAGATAACAGCTTTAAATAGCCAACTCTCTGAACAAATCGCTCACGTAAACGCATCTGATATTATTACCTAACGGCTCAGATGTGTTTAGCACAGGTGCTTTTTCGGCAAGATGGACAATTCTTTCCCGTCTACAGGGTGGAATTGATTAACGCTTAAGTAATTTCCAAGCTACACATTTCGCCCAGGGCAACTGGAAGTCGCATGGAAATTTCTCCTGATAACACGAGCTTCTGGCGAAGACGGGACTTTGCCAGACAGTCGTTCGTGACGAGTGTTTGCAAAAAACAGAAGAGTGGAACAATATACTAACTAAACATGCTGCTATTGAATAGAATACATATATTCTATATGATTGTAATGCTAATATTTACGGAGACCGTTGTTAAATATTGTTGCTTGTGTATCTATGTCCGCAAGAACCCCCAGTGTTGTCGATGCTTTATTCAATCAATGTCCTATTCTTCATTTCATTTGCTGTTGTTGCACTTTAATGTCCGAGCTGGATCCGATGGCTGGAAAACTGTAACCTTATATATATATATATCACCACTTGATTTATTTATTATCATTGATTAGCAGAATCTTGAAATGCGTCTGTGGTGGATGTTGTGTTTATCTGCACGTTTCGCACTTGATATCCTTTGTTTGTGATTAATATATGTAGTATTTAGAAGTAATATAATGCAGTTAACTTAAATTTTCACGAAAGAAAGAAGGGTGGCAAGAAGCAGAGCTGGTAGACAGCCTAAAAGATAAGTGGCAGTGAACTGGTCGAGCAAGTCTGACTTCGAGCATCGTTAACAGCAGAAACAACGAAGACTGGCTATATAAAATCATTATCGACGAGAGGCATCACGCGCGAAATTATTTGAATCGTATGCTGCACAAGCTTTCTTTCAAATATATTAGCGTACGCTTAGACAGCCAAGCCTACGCTGGAAAGAAAAATTTGGAAAGTCGCTGCTTGAGGACCCGCTGACGGCACATACGACACAACCGGTGTGAATAGACTCATTTTTAAATATAGCGCGCGTGTGTGTGCGTGTATGCGTGTGTGTGTGTGTGTGTGTGTGTGTGTGTGTGAGGTGCTTCTTATTATAATCATTATTACTCTAATTAAACATCAGTTATCATCGAAACGTCATTCTCTCTCTCTCTCTCTCTCTCTCTCTCTTTCAGTAAAAAGACTGTGCAGTCTATCTGCCTACAGTGATCAGCAAATGGTTACTACAATATCATTATATTAGACATTGTATTGCAGTTGTTTATGATTATTATGATATGTAAACGTAATTGTTTTAATTGTCTCTGGCCAACGTTTAATAGTGAGAAGAAATGCAGAAGTAAGTGATACTACACGTCATAATGTAGTCAGGTGCGTTCAATAAACAGAACAACGGAAAGGTGCCGTTGGAGGGGGATCAAGCTGTGGAATCTGATAGGGGTTAGGCGTTGATAACGGTTTCGTGCAAAATGAAGTAACATCAGTGTCGTAGGGGGGAGGAAGGGTTCGTAGAAAGTATCATGCACTGCCAGGGAGCATGGATCTCTTGCTTAGAAATGAACTAATAGTACTAGTAGCAAACATTTCATTACAACTAGTGTAAGATAACGGTGAGGGCGGACACTGAGGATCGTGTTCTAAAAATTGACGTCTCCGTCACTATATGTATATACATCTAAACGGAGAGAGAATTCTGTTATTTATCTGAAAACAGCGAAAGCCATATCGACATGGGCAGTGGTGGAGAGAGGGTAGAATGGTGAGGTCATTGAAGATACAGCAAATGGTACATTCGTGCTGGCATAGTTGTTCAGGTGAAGTTATGATGTCCAGTAGTGTTCAATGGTGGGTGACATCTCTTTCCTGCGACCCATTGACAGGTGTGACTAAACAGTGATCGGAACGATAAAACAGATACGCGGAACACTCACACGTTTAGCGCAGCTGATTGGCGTCTACGGCAATTCTTGATTAAGAAAAAAAAATCCAAACTCTACACTGCGCAAAACCATTGATGAGCAGGATTTTGGGTAATGCTATATCGCAGGAAGCTTAAGCGAAAGCCGGAGCGTCGTGAGTAAATTCAATGAACACTGGCGGCGATAAGGACCACCGAATGGCGATCGGCCAACAATTCAACGTTGTACAATTTTTTAAAAACGAGTAAACGATACAATGACGGCAGGGTTTAATATTGGCAAACATTGGTACATATATGGTACATATAATTGCATGATTCTTTCATTGTTACCCTTGTGTTAGATCTATACCCACTTTTTGTTCGTTGAATATTTCGAGGTACGCTTCTCGGGGAACGTTCAAGTGTGTATGTCAACTTCCAACTATTGTGAATCAAAGAAGGCATATAATGATCGCTTTGCTTGGTCTTCGGCAAAAAACGAGCAATACGATGTTGAGACCAGCAACGATTTGCAGGTTATTGATACCTATATTAGTTTTCCGCAGTTTTAGTAATTCCAAATCACTCTCTTTCTCTATTGACAACATATTACGTGGCTCGCGGCGCCGAACCATAATTACGTACGAGGATTTCCGCTGAATCTCAATATATCGATTATATCCTAGGGGTACAACACTATTGGTCGACAAACGTATTTAGGTAATAACATATGAAAACATAAATCTCGAGTTATTATGTGATTACACGATATGTAACCATGGTATCATCCCAGTGTCAAATGTGTCAGAACACCCTGTGTTGTATGGCAAAAACACAGAAGCGTCGACAGAATAACATTGAATAAGGGAGAACAATACCAAGGAACCATAACTGGAATTAGGACACGCGTTTTGTTCTTACCGATAGGCCGCTTTGTGAACAAATTATTTTCTACGGGCATACGATTGACTGAGTGTTTATCTAATATAGTTTTGATCTGTATGAGACTGAATGGCTTGTCTTTCTTTGCATGTTAGGTCTAACACTCTAATGTACGGCCAGGCATACATCGAATGCAAAATTTGTGTTTTCGTAAAGTTGAATTGTCAGCGGTGTCACGGAACTAACGTTTACTACACGTACTAACTGCGGGTGTAGTACGCCGAGTGTGAAAATTTCAGGATCCGCACATGTTGAGCGAAGTCGAGACAAACTTGCCCTACAAAATCGTATAAACTGAGAGAAAATTACGATAATTATAATTAGTTATTAGGTCAAGTCCGTGCCAAAGTTCTGAGGTGCATTAACTCCGCAGGTAATATAGAGTCAACATTGTGAGAATAGGTTTACGATAATAATCACAGATTTCAAGACAGGTTTGTAATAGGACTATTATTGAAGTTTTGATCTGTACGTAACGTGAGATATGTTACTATGACCTGCTTTTACTTTAGTCGATCGTTTGGATTGAGGATTGGGTTTTGAGGCATGATTATTTTTGTTACAAACTTTGTACACATTGATACCCCTCCTAATCGAATATTTCTACTATCGTCTATGACAACGCTCTACAAGCCGTTTAGGTGTCTCTAGTAAAATAAGAACATGCAAAGACTGAATTATTGCAAACAGCTCCTACATACACACACACACACACACACACATATATATATATGCTGATGGTATTTTCAGCTTGGTGACTGCGTGAATGGCTTCGTGTGCGTGTTTATGTGTGATGTTTGTAGGTGTGTAGTTACCTGCTGAATTACAATACTGGGCAAAGTCATAAAGAAGCTCCTTTATAATGGGCACACTTCGTATGATGTGGGTTTTAATCGTAGGACCAGTAAGCAAGCAGACGTAGTGAAATACTGAATGGGAAATTGTACCACTGACGTAACAGTGTGATTTAAACGGATGAATACCAGAATACCCGGGAACGACTATCCGAGTGTCATTCAGCATTACGTTTGAGGGGTGAAATAGTTTTAGAAAAACTTGGTACTGCTCATCATAAAACCTGAACTCTCTGGTAGATGTAAAATGCTAAAGCATATGTTAAGAAAGAAGGTCTAATTATTATAGTAGAATAAAGTTGGACCAGTGGAAATATGCTGCCATTGGGTTTATTCAATCTGCAGGCGCAGGAAAACACTCCTTTGATTGTATCGAAAGTCAAGCAGGATGTTGTCAACAGATGTCGAGAGTTGCTTGCCGTAATGGGATTGATGTACTATTAATTGTTATTATGTTGACCGAGGAAGGAAAAATTATATCGAAAAGAAAAATTATACGAAACTCGCCGTTAGTCACTTCAAATTGAAGTGGTCAAAGCTAAGGGAAACAAAAAAAGAAAAGGAAAGAGGCATGCCACCGCCAAGAAAGGACATTCAAGATAAAATGAGAAACGAAAGAACGGCAAAGACATTAACAGGATGAAAAGGAAAAGTGTTTAATCGTGTAGAGTATTACTATAATGTTCTACTCATTAAACTATGTAACTTATTTAAAAAAAAACATCACGTGTTTTTATTTCATCAGTGAATTTGTTAAGATCTTAGAGCATCGTTTGACCTCCTATTGATAGTCGGACTTAGAATGGTAATGGCATGGCCAGTAAGTAACAAAGCAGGAAGAAAACTATTTTCTTACATTAAATTAGCTCATTGTGATAACATATAATAACTCGAGTATATTAAGTGTCTATTACTAATACTATTAATAAAAACATATAAAGTAATGTTCTTATTAATAGTATTATTATTTCAGAAGAATTAGTTCAGACAAGACGTGTCCTTTCTAAAATTGGTCTTCCACTATAAGTTACAGATTGTTTCGCTATAATGTCGCCTTTGCAATGCACACTTTTATAATGATGCAGTAGTTCGACTTAATGAGCATGGAAACATGCTCATTAAGTCGAATACACTTATAGGCTAGGACCATATATATTCTATAGGTGAAACGACCGTATTACCTAAATTAAGAAGCGCCTATATTTACACAAATGCCGCATATACATCAGAGTTGAAATTGTTTATGATATGAGAACATAATTATATGTATGTTCGGAGGTGACCATGCTTATAGGTGCACCTTTTCACTTCCCATGTTAACGTGAGCAGTTCTTGCAGTGACTATTGTAGAGCATCGTATTGTCTGGTCTGAACTCAGGACACTATTACATAGTTAGGTTTGTTTTTGGTACAAAGCTCGAGCACCTGATCTCTTTCCACAGTAAAGTAAGGAAGACAACTACATAATATCAGTATTTAACGAACATCGCTATCGGGACTTTTGCAGGTATTTACCTGTACACTTCCGACAATATTCTTTTTCGGATTTCGAAATAAGGCTCCTACGTAGGAAAGAGCTCCTTTGACGACAGAATACAAACATGGCGTCGATAAATAAAGTCGTGGATTTGATAGCTAGTATACAGGGTCTAGCAAGAAGCATATATATATTCACTGAGAAATAGACTAGACGATAGCATCGTGGGGTTGGAACAAAAAAAAGTCTTCGGTCCTGTTAATAAAAGAAATGCTCGTCCTTTATTACATGTCTTTTTTATATAAAAATCTCGCTCTATCAAGACGTGTGTGCCTCCTGTCCTCAGTGTACGTCAGAGCTTCACCCTTCACAGTTAAACACTCGGCTGTTGACAACCTTGCAATATTCTCATCTTTTGAAGCCCCTTTTTGATCTAACCTGAAGCCCCCGGTTAGTTAAGTAATCACTTCAATATGCGACTTACCGGCCTATCCGCCAGAGGCCCTGTCGAAGGCACTCTTTCGACCAAACTAAATTCAGTTCAACCCTTTTCGGGAACATTAGTTTCCGAGTAGCAACTCCGTCCTAAATTTTTCCTATTATCTCATTACAAGCACAGCGATGTATAACATATCCCTACCGGAGAGGACTGAGGAAACTACTGTGCTTATAAATTTGGAAATTTGGAAATATCAATTCTTGAATAAAACTTGCAATAGAACTTACTGGTCTTAGGGGGTTGTAGACAACATAACATAATACATCGTTTTTCCAAAATAGCCGCAACAATTTTAACAAAAAAAAGACTAGCGGACAATTCAGCATTATAAAATCTGTGAGATATTAATTTATTCGGCAGATGGCAAATGTCTTATGAAAAACTGGCAGTGGTTGATCCCTTGAATGTTGACAACAGTTCAGTATTTAACATTTACGGAAAAAAAAAAAATACAATTTTTATGTTCACCGTTAGGTCTACCCGAGTCTTTTGTGGTTGTCTCTACTATCTGACTACGCGAAGGCGTCCGATATCAGTTAATGTTTTGAGTTTCCAAACGGAGCCACGTGAGTATCGGTTGCAGCTGGCACCTATTCAAGTCGATGTGTACCCCACAAAAAACTTGATTTATTTTCATATTCCACTATCAGTAGCATGTAAATACGCTTTGCTGGAGCAGTTCTTGAAATAGAAACAAATTTAGCCAGTCGTTCAGAGTTCGTCTTCTTATCGTAGCACAGACCGACGATTGTTTTCTAGAATGTTTCCTCTTGAAATAGCAGTATGTATAATGAATGCGGATTTGCAAACGGGCAAAGGCCGTATGTCGGATGCGAGGCAAAAATCAGATACCTTTTGTTACGTATGCCCTATGTAAGTGACTGTTTGAAACAAGGTGACTTACTCATATTTTCAAACCGTATAGGGATAGGATAGGACGTGAGGTTAAACGAGGGTTCGTCTTTTTTTCGGCCCTCCGATATACTTATCCAACAACGAATGACCTTGGATATTGCACCGAGTATTCCCTGGGGCCAGCCGCTTTTCTAATACTATTCGTAGACGTCATCAAGATGAACTTGAAAAATCAATCGTGGCACAAAGAACACGTTTTTTTTTGACCTCTAGAAACACGTTCACCTGTCGCAGCGCTGTTGACCGTCGGTATCGTACTACCTTGAACGCAAATGGTTCTTTCAACATTACTTACGACCCGCTCTCCGAGGAGGTAGTCGCATGTGCTATGTTGTTGTTCGCAGGTGCGAGCGCCGTCGGCGCATGCTTAGTCGCTACGAGTTCGTCGAGGGGGGTCGGACGGAACATAGAAAACAAAGCAAAAGATAGAACCGTGTCACCACATCGCGCACATGGCGTCTTGGTTGTGTGATACCTGGCGTTTCTTAGCAGTTCTCACTCTTTCAGGCGAGCTTGCTGGACCGAGCAATTGTTTGCCGCTTTGCAAAGCTCTCGTTTTCGTCTTCACTTTTCTCGGCCTACAACTCCGGCAACGGTCTACCAGCGTCGCTGTCCGCGTTCCTTGTATGGCTGTTACTGTTGCGTGGCTATAGGCGACTGCTGGTGACTGTCATTGATTCCGCCGGTGTCGAATCGAATCCTGTTATTTGGCCACGCCAGGGGCTGTCCGGGAACGACATCGTACGGGAACATCGCGTTTCTGGTGGAGAGAAGGGTCGACATTGTGGAGCTGCTTGACTAACTGGTAATAAGGCAGTGTCGCTGTCGTAGCCTCAATAGCAGCAAACAGTGTTGTTTTCTGGCGGTCGTGCTGTGAATAAATGAAAGTGGCGATCTCGTTGAGCCATGCCCTAGTGGTATCAGTAGCAGTGACGCCGGTTGCGGCATCATCTCTCGAGGCCCCCTCACGGCTTGTATGACCCTCACCCATCGTTTTTTTTCACTCGTGATTTTCTCATCGTTAGCTGTCTTGGTGTGACTCTGCCAATGTAATCTCCGCCGGCATTAATTTCACCCTGCCTTCCCTGTGGCTGTACGTGGGCAAACTTCCGGTGGCGCAAAGCAAGAAGTACAGACAAGTCGCGACATACTGAGGTGGCATCTTGCGCTCTAGGAATCACGTTTTCAGAGCAATCGGTTCTGGCGCATTCATTGCTTTTCTAGTCAGTGTCCGAGCCAACACTAAATTACGGTACTCCTTCAATAAGCGCCAGTTCGTAACTGGGACGTGTATATAGTTGTCATATTCAAAGCGTGTATGAAGTACCACTAAAGAGGAGTGTTTGCGTGTCTTCGGAGTGGACAGTCTACGTATTTTGTCGAACCTGTCTAAATTACCGCGCACGTACTTGAAACGTGAAGTTAATAATATTCCTCACAAGCTCCGGTTTGGAATAGGAACCATGTCCCGTGTTTCCAAGCGTTTGTACGCCGAAGGTGGGGTCAATCAAATGCCGCCTTACTATGACCGGGGTGCTGAGGCTGCACGGCAAAATGCTTGGGTTTTTGAGGTATCTTGGGAAGCGGCCAACAAAGTGGGTGGAATCTACACCGTAATTAAGACAAAAGCCGAAGCATCGACCATGGAGTTGGGCGACCAATACTGCCTTATCGGTCCACTGAAGCAGAACGCCGTTAAGACGGAGGTCGAAATTACAGAACCACCAAAGTTGTTTGAAAGGGCACTGACATCGTTCCACGACCAAAAAGTCAATTTTGTGTATGGCCGGTGGCTCATAGACGGTTATCCCCAGATTTTACTTGTTGACGTTGGATCAGTCTCTGATCGTCTTACTGCCTGGCGACAAGACGTGTACGAGAAGTCTGGCATCGGAATACCTTATGAAGATATCGAATCAAACGATGCTGTTTTGTTTGGCTACCTTACGGCATGGTTCCTCGAGGAGTTCGTGAACGCAGCTCGTTCCGAAGGTACCCCTTACATCACAGCACATTTCCACGAGTGGATGACCGGAATTGGCCTTCAGCAGTGTCGCATAAAGCACCTCGATGTCGCCACCGTGTTCACGACGCACGCCACACTATTGGGCCGTTATCTATGCGCCGGTAATGTGGACTTTTATAATCACCTCGCCGATTTTGATTTGGACCGTGAAGCAGGCGATCGTGGTATTTACCACCGTTATTGCATAGAACGAGCCGCCACCCATACCGCGCACATCTTCACGACTGTTTCCGAAATCACCGCCCTTGAGGCGCAGTTCCTGTTACGTCGAAAGGCCGAAGTAATTACGCCGAATGGGCTCAACGTAAAAAGGTGAGTAACCCGAGGGTCAACCAGAAAATAAGGCGTAAGGACAGAATCATTATAATTCTATCGCTGCCTCAAATTGGCAAAGTGGTTATTTTGCCAGATTTTGTTTTGATTTCTTATCTTTCTCCGTGTCCACTTCCACACAATCTATCTAAACAAACGGAGAATCACGACCAAACAAGTAATAATGCCCAAAATGCTATTCTATAATAATTCTCGTACCGAAATGCTGCGAAAGTCATTTCCGTGAGTCTTGTTGTTGTTTGACTTGTTGTCGTTGTTGACGCTTAATCTAGGCGCTAGGCAATAATGCTATAGGAAACGCTACGTTATTGATTTACGAGGTAAAATGACGGCAGAAGCCAAATCTCGTTGATAATGAACGACTGCTGTCGACCACAGCGATCATATTTATCAATAAAATAATTGACTGAAGATATCTCCGGCGATCTTTCAAGGTGGGGGGTTAAAAAGCGGCTTATGTGGCTAGATGTTGACCAAGCGACGCTAAAGAAATCATCGGGCTACTCTAGTCAACCTTGCAATCTAGGCTACTTACGGCTCAGGTCAGAATAGTTTATAAATCAGGTTAATAGATATAGTAATTCTCGATTATAGCAGACGCGAATCTGTTTCACAGTTATTTAGTTATAAGGATTTTAGAGTCAGTGTCTCTGTGCCCAGGTTCCACGATACGCGCTGTCATGCATACAGGAGACGCAAATGCTTTAGCTTCCATAAGGTCACTGTTCTGAACAGATTTATGGCCAGCAATAGCGTTAACTATATTAGGGCTTAAATATACCAACGCTAGCGAATATTTTATGATATTCTACGAATCCTTATTGTTCGTTCGTAAAGGTGAAGGAATGGGAAGAAATCCTTCTTGATGTTTGTCGCTGAAATGATAATTCTGTTTTTATAAATACCTACAACAGAGTGCATATTCTCTTACAGATACGAGGCGCATCACGATTTCCAGAACAAACACGCCATGGCAAAAGAAAAGATACACAACTTTGTGCGAGGCCATTTTCACGGACATTATGATTTTGATCTCGATAAAACGCTGTACTTCTTCATTGCTGGCAGGTAAGCTGTTATGTTGACAAAAGTAGTACGCTAGTAAAGTCACTACTATATTCCTATGGGTAACTTGTTTTAGATGATGTCGCGAACATCGCCCAAATGGAATTAACAAGCTTTGGAATGAGTCTTCAGTTGAGCCTCACGCAACGAGCAGACGGCTTGTTTCTTCACAATGAAACCCTTAAGAGAAAGTGTTATGCAGCTAGGTAGAATGCGTGTTGCACGAGCTGCACTGAGACACATCTAGACCAATTCGTAAGTGAACCTTACAGATCGTTGCCCGTGCCACGAGCCCCCCTGTAGAAACGGCATTGTACGACATAGCCCGCTGTTTAAACGAAACCTTTCGCCACGTTATACAAACGAGTTGGCCCATAGTTCTCTAGGTGATACATGGTCGTAGCTGTGACCGTGACCTATCTAGTGGCATTAAATTGAATACTCCACAGTCTCTACTCGAGACACTCTACCTTGTCGTTGCTTACGTAAGTGATGGCGCTCAATACACTCGACTGTTTTCACGTGAGTCGTAAGGGCATGGATCGAATTAAAATAAATGACTGCGACGAGATAGATACGAAATAGATAAGAGACAGTTTACCAGCAAACAACTAGGCTCTCCTACAGCTGAAATAACAAAATCTAGCAATCTATATTGCTAAATTGCATTGAGTTAATAACAAATTAATTTTATTTTACCTGTGCACCATATCGCTAGGCGTTGTTTACTGACAGTGCCTCCCGAATTCAGTGACCGAACTACTTACGCACTGTTATTCTGATACGCATGAAGTGCGGACGACGATGACGACACTGTGATTCAGAGTGTCGAAGAAAAAAAAATAACAATAGAAAATTATTTTTCACTAATCTCATGTGGTTCTTTCATGACGTGACACTATCGGAAAAATATCGTAAAGGTATGAGTTCAGCAATAAAGGGGCGGATTTGTTTATTGAATCGTTGGCCCGGCTAAATCATCGAATGAAAGCTACGAACTGTGAACACACGGTTGTGGTGTTTTTTATCTTCCCGGCAAAAACTCACAACTTTAACGTAGAATCGCTCAGGGGACAAGCCGTTGCTAAACAGCTGAAGGAGACCTGCGATCAAATACAGCGGCGAATAGGAGATCGGTCAGTGAAGTTTTTCAATTTTTCAGAAGCTTCTTTTAATTGCTACAACCTTATGGAAAACCTTAGGTATGAGTACTGCTGTTATTGTAGGTGCTGTTCTGCTGGGTCCCAATGAGAATTGGAAGACTTTTCTATTGTCACCCGTACAAGCTCGAATCTTCATCGATTAGATCTTCGAATAACTCACAAAAATATAGCCCTTTGCCCCATGAGGCTTTTTTGTTGTTTTCTCCTGTGACTTTTAACTATAGTAGTTAGACTGATTGTGAAAATTTACAAAGCCAACTACCTAATCGAATTCCGTTGCCATTTTTAGTCATTAGCCATGCGTCTTGGTAGATACGATTGTTTGCAAGTTATTTCATTGTTAAAAACAAAACCTTTGAAACGGACAATTCTATCGACGCCTTCAAACTGTTATTGTTGTCCTTCGAATGCAAGAGCTATAGCTGCAGAAGAAAATGATTTTCATGGCTAAAAAAGAGCTTCTGGTCATGGCCAACATAAATATGGTAACAGGACTAACTCGCTTGTCTATGTATTGCGCCTTCAGATTATACGAGACAGCATTAAGCGGCCGTATTCCTGACACTAAGGAACTGTTTACCCCACAGGATCTAGTGATGCTTAAACGGGGTAAGATTCATAATTAGATGCATGCTTAGATCTGTTACTCAACGATATAGGGAATCTTTTTGTTTGTGTGAAGTCCGGTTTGTACAATGCTCAATTTTTTTTTGAAATTTCGTTAGAAGCTTTTGCTACAAGGTCCTAGTTGGAGGATCGTTCTGCATTGGACTATTGTCCTATAGGAAGAAAGTAATCTACTTTCAGCGTTTGGATGCTTCGGTTGTGTCAGTGTAAAGCGAGCAGTACTGTTATAGCCTGCTCGGTTTGTCTATTCCTTAGTTCTCCTTGCCTAACCTTTTCCCCTCAGTCTGCCTACAGCCAGCGAGGAAAGACCACGTGTTGGGTCCTATAGTGCAATGAAAGCCAACTAGGTTACGAAAGACATTTGGACCCTTTCGTAAATTACCATCGCGATAGCTTGTGCTTTCGCTAAGCGATGTAACAAGCTTCTTACGTCGGCTTAATGTTAACTCAAGCACCTTATATGTATCGATATAGCCTTTGGATATTGTTTTTTCGTTCACACGGTGTATGTAGTCACGATAATTGAATTTTAAATGTTTCCAAAAGGGTTACAGTAATAAACGACTTCGCATTATAGACGTGAAATACTTTACATCGCAGATACGCCCACGTATTTAATGAAAATAACAGCTGACGACCGCTTCCACACTTTACGGGATATTGTGCCCGGAAGCACTCTAAATCGAGTTGAGAGCTGCCATCTTAAAGTTAGGACTGCTATCTATTGCAATCTTGGAAGCGCCTTTCGAACACCAATTGAAATATGACAAGGGAATAGATGGGAACAACTGAACAAAACAAGAGGCTGGGGACCTGAGTAGGTTTCGAAAATATCCATGCTCCCTGTTGGCGCCTAACAGATATCAGCTGTTTGACCGATCGTAGATTATAGTATGAGGGGCTTTTTTTCATCACTAGACCAGTTCTCAGCTGGCTGGCTGGCTGGCTGGCTGGCCAGCTAGCTAGCTAGCTAGCTAGCTGGGCTTACGACAATAAGACTGGCCACGCACTCAACTCCATCTTTATGCGGATGTAACTTGTATGCGAAACAATCGCGCAACGCTCACCGAATAAAAGGGATCGTTAGATGATTAGCAACAGGTTTATTTTGGAATAAATCAACAATCGATAATATTTTTTTACACAATCGTCAATGTGCGCTAGGCTGACGTAGATTCTGACTGAAATTAATAATAGGGAGCTGAAACCTAGTGGTTGAGACAACCTTTTTCCATCGATCGATCAATTTCGGCGAGCAGTTTGTTACATATAGAATTAGTACTAATGAAGTCTGCGCCACAATTTACCTACATATATATATATATATAATACAGCACCATAATAAGCAGATAGATTAGAGCGTCTAATTGAAGTGATCACTATCGTTTTTCTCCTGTTACAGGAATCTACTCAACTCAAAAATCGTCACTTCCCCCAATCTGTACCCATAATATGATCGATGATGGCATGGACCCTGTACTGTCTTCGTTTCGACGTTGCCAACTGTTTAACAATCGACATGATAAGGTTAGGCTTCATTTCATCCAACGGGCAGAAAAGTGACATATTGAAGGTTGTCCGGTGCTCTTCTTCAGTTTTTAGTTTGACACAGAAGATGTCTCCACGGTGAAGACTTATAACGTGTGTGACAATAGTGTCGAAGATAGACATCTTTTAGGGTTAATGTTGCTTCGAACCTCCGCGAATTGACCTCGTGATTTCTAAAGTGGTCGGCGAAGGGACTTGGTCGCAAACCCACTTGGAAGCTGCGAGGGATCAAAACAAAACCATAAGGGGTAGATCAAGAACAGAACTATGTTGTGTCTTCATCTTTCAATCTTTTACATATCAGCCTCAATGCGATCATGGAAGCGTTAACTATTTGTTCTATGCACTAATGTGAGTCATAAAAACTGCACGTAAAACGACGCTCCTGTATGCGCTTGTGTACGTTATCCAATGTTTTCGAATAACGAAGCTGTTGACAAATTTATCAACATTATTATCTTTAATATAATATAATAACAATAATATCTTGTTGGGCCAGATTCTTTTCAAATACGCATTATTAGTTAGCTTCTCAGTCAATGCCGGTTAATGTAAGCTCTTCCGAGTGCAAGGCGTCGTATATGTGCTTTGACCGACAATGATTTCCCTGCAATGGTTAGGTAGAAACGTTTGAAGCGATCCTAATCGTCGTACTGAATGTAAAGCTCGATACGTTTATCTAGGTACTACTGTTCCGATTGGCATGAACGCTTGTCGGAATATTTGTTAGCTAGCCTATTGATAAACAAATTAATTTTATTCATTTATCGCAAATGAACAGAAAACAATCGTTTTCTGTTCGGTACTACCGATTTCTTCGTTGTATTGTCACTAGCGTATACTAAACTGATCATAATGGTCATGTACGACGTTTCGATTTCAGGTAAAAGTGATATTCCATCCGGAATTCCTCTCCTTGACATCACCCCTGCTACCCATGGATTATGAGGAGTTCGTCCGTGGGTGCCACCTGGGCGTGTTTCCGTCGTATTACGAACCTTGGGGTTACACACCTGCCGAATGCACCCTGATGGGAATTCCATCGGTGACCACAAACTTGTCAGGTGAGAATTCTGCGTGCCTCGCAGGTAATTCGGATGTCTAAATGGGTCTGGGTTATTAGACCATCAGCGCATACCCACTAGGTTTTGTTTTTATAGCGCTATTAAATTTTATTATTGCACATATTTTTTGTTTTTTATTCTACTCGTGCTTTTTCCGGATCTTCAAGAAACGATATCTGGATGCTAAGCATGGGTCGTCGTTGGTTCGAGTTCGCCTGGGCGCGTGCACGTACGGCATGTGTGTGTCGATCTATAATACGTCGTGGTTACGCCTTACTGCTTTGAGTGGTTAATAATTACTTGATAGTTACGTTAGTTTAGTGGTTACTTCTGCTATTATCCTATGAGATTTTCTTTCGGGAAATAGATACTTTGTTAAGAATTCGGCGGAAAATTACAAAGAAGAAGCCTTTCATTTCCTAATTCTCATAGTATTTGAGCCATCGTTTCTGATTTCTACGACCTTCACGACCTTCACTTGTTAGTAGTTCGATCGTTCCGTGGCACCTGGATTGCGTGCACAGTGCCAACGTAATGCGTACCGTATCTGCCTTTTTCCCGCAGGTTTTGGGTGTTTCATCAACGAACATGTCGATGATCCCATGTCGTATGGGATTTATATTGTTGAGCGTAAATTTAAAGGCGTTGACGAAAGCGTCGAGCAACTTGCGCAGTTCCTTTTGGACTTCTGCAATCTGACCAGACGCCAGAGGATCATCCAAAGGAACCGTACTGAACGCCTGTCAGAGTTACTTGATTGGAAGAACCTGGCACAGTATTATTCGTGAGTGTCTTGCTTCGAGCTGATATTATCCGTTTGTTAAGGTAAAGATAATGTCGTCCAGTCGATTTATTATTATGCAGCACTCTCAAGTGACTGTACAATTGGAGTATAAACGGGTTATTCGTAAAATTGTCGAAATTGCATGTCTTCTATTATTGAATTATCTATATTATTAGATAGGTCTATTATTGAACACACACACACATACACAGAGTCTATTGGTAAAACGTTTTTCATGATGGAAGTTGTAACCATCAATCACGTCGACCAGCAAGCGACGCTGTACGATAACGGGTCTGGTTTCTAACTGGTTCTTTGGAGCGATGCCTTGGCCAGCTAGACAACTAAACTAATTCAAATCCTCCCGGTTTAGAAATAATTTACTCTCTGTTTAACAGGTTTGCCAGACGCGAAGCACTTCTAAAGGTCCACCCCGAACTTCAAGCAATCGCCGAGCTACAGCGACTGCAAATTCGTTATCCACGCCCTTTTTCGGAGCCACCATCGCCCGCTCACTCTCGACTAGGCAGTCCTCACACTAGTGATGATGAGGACAGCCTCTTCAATGGCAAATAAACAAGCGAATGACTGGTGGCGTTCGATCGCAAAAAGGAAGTACGAACTTCGGCTAAACAGTCCCTGTAACTTTAGAGAACATTGCGAATGCTGGCGAAATCTCGCGACGCTCTGATGACTTGATGAAGTTGAACTAATGAGCCGGTCTAGTGAATATAGAAGATTAACAAAACCAAAGTCTGAAAACTCCTAACGCTACAGGCAGTTGTTAAAGGTGAAGAGATTGGTGAGGTGTTGAGGATTTGAAGTAGTCGCTCGGGAGGTAAAACACCATTTACACTGACCCCAAAAACCAATCTAGTTCAAATTGGTTCGACTATTATTCGAATTCAGCAATTGAACACGTTTTACATAGTAAAGTTATTCAGCTCATATAGAGCGTAGGTTTTTAACAGTATTTTTACTCTGTCTTTCGGCTCGAAAAGCACAGCCGAATCGATAGATGCAGTATAGTCGTCTCTTGAACATGACTCGTTTAAGAAACAACATGACTCTAAATTCAAATCGCAATACTTCTTTTCGAGATTATGTCAAGGCACTATGGAAAGAAAATGTTTAGGTGTAAGCCCTCATATAAACGATGACTTGACCACATCTGGCCAAGAATTAAATACAATTCTATTTCTGTTAATTGTATTTATTACATGTACGTTCTGTTAATTTAAGTCAATCTTAATAGTGATAATAAAACATGTGGACAACTTACTGTATCGTTAGTATGGCTCATCTTTACCTTACCTGCAAAACTAGTAGGTATATTTGTATGGAACGCCCGGGTACGAGATATTGTTTGTGTACGTTCCATGCAATGAAGCTGCGTACAAGTAACCCAAATTTTAGCAGAACCGATCCAGAAGAATGACTGTTAAGCCATTAAGTAAAAATAAGATGTCGGCTGTGTACAGCAGCCCCAGGGCTTTGGCACCGTCGTTTTGAAAACACGCCCCGAAGGTGTTCCAAGCTGAAAGGGGCTGCTAGCTTTGGGGTTGGTTAAATCTTCATTTTAAAATGAGGGTTTAGCCAGCCCTTTGGCAATGGCATTTTCCCCACCACGCATTTATCCCAATGTTGACTGCTCTGCAGAGGCGTAAAACGACCGAGTGACCAACTGACATCTCCATATACAGCGGTCTTATATATGCGTACACACGGGTAATTTATCAGGTTAGCCTTACGATCTCATTAGAGCATTTCATCTTATCATCGACAAGCAGCTAGAAAAATCTCCAGCATCAAGTCTACCTAACATTGTATTGATAGACAGAGTATTGATAAACATTGAGAATACTGAGAAAATACTTATAATAATAGCATTTAAACCCATTCTAACAATGTCTTTTTTACAGTTTTATAAAAAGTATGCAAAAAGATGTTTATAAAAAAAAACGAATAATAAAATTAACCCGCACATCTAGATTCTTACCATAGCGTAGCATACTGAGGAGATGAAATTTCAGGTGTTGTACATAAGCAGTATAAACAACCAAGCCTGCAATATACACAGTTATTCACAGCCTTAGATTATACAATAACAGATTTTTCCTTATTGGGTGGAATCTGCATTCTAAATATTGTCTAGCTATAATGAAGTCACCTACTGTGTGCTATTCCTCTCCCCCCCCCCCCCTGAACTCTCTATGAGCAAATGCTGGGGACCTATTAATAATGCTATGTTTGATTAAATTAAGGATCTTCCACATCTTCATCTTGTAAAACGAAGCAATTTGTAACATTTAGTTCAGTCTTCTCTCTAGTAGCTTTATCAGGTAGGTCAGCTTTGAAAGCGATATTGAAATCTACAAGCTGGCTGTGTTACGAAACTACATTTCCACAGATAGGACTTTTACGTCGAACATGCAGTTACTGTTAGCTTCCTTAAGCCAAGATCTATGCTTTAACTACGGCAAGAATACTTGGGCATTTCAAGTAGTTACTAAACTCATGCACTAGAAGCACCAGTAGCAGCCTATACAGTGGTTTTATTGTCGCTACATCTCTCCCGTGCCAATCCAATGAAATTTTCCACCGTATAAAAGTATCGGTAAATTATAGGTGGCAAATCAGACAAGGTCTCTCTCTTTAGGACTATATTTAGTTCCTGTTAGTTTTTATCGAGGCAGCGACCAAGACATTATATAAATGTTCTTATTGTGTGTTTACAAACACTGGCGCTTAAAATAATTATTTTTTTGTATTTGTACAAAAAGACCGGATCTTCTTTTTTGACCAAAGACCCGATATCTTATTAATAGGCTAGTCATTGCAAAATTTTATAACATAATGTTTATAACAAGCAAGTTTATAACATAATGCATGTAGAATTAATTCATCTATTTAGGAGTCTACGCGGTTTATGTAAATGTAGCATTTGATGTTTGACACAATGTGGACGATTGTCAGTCTTCCGTCAAATGTCCTGAAATGGTCATCGCGTATCTTAAAATTAGAGTTTCCTTTTCCATCAGTGGTTTCACACAAACAACAAAGTCCGTACATCCTGTCCCCGGAAATAGTGCAAAGACGACATTGACGTCTAGCGTTTTGGTGAGATGGACTTCAAATGATATGAAAGGAAATGATATTTGGTCTCCCTTTGAAACAGAATGCTCAGTCTTAGCTAATTACCACATTATATGTGAACGAATCCGGGGGATGTCAAGGGGAACCTCTTACGGGTGGTCATCGAAGCACGTATTTAGCAGACGTGACGTTTTAATATGGAATTCTGGGTCACTTGATCGTTAATATTACCTATATATTAGCCGCGTCGTTGCGGTGGCCTAGACCGTGCGATTTCTAACTAAAAAATGCATAAATCTATGGGTTAAGCTGTGCCAGTAGCTAAGATTTGATCGAATAGAAAAAAAATAAATAGATATTAGGCGGTTTAATCAATAGTGTTTTCAAGTAGTCTTTGTCAAAGTGAGAGATATAACAAGGTCGGCGTTCAATATCATTGACCTTTTCCCTAATAGTTTGAAAGGTCCACAGATATTCTTTTAACTGACTAGGCTGAGAGGGCAGGACGGTATCGGTAATGAAGTATAAGATCTCTGATTTTGTCGGCAAGTTATTACGCACGAGTTGTTGGCACTCGTTGTTACCGCGGCGTCCAAACTAAAACTCAATTGAACTTCGTCCTTACTTGACCTGTATGAAATGATGCCACCATGTCTCTTTACATGCCAAAGTCGAACATCAGTGCAAAGTAGGGTTCGTAACCTGTTGCTGAGAAATAAGGGTTCTATTTTCAGATTGCGTAAAACATTGAAAGTATAGAAACCGGGTTACCAAAGCAGGAGAATTTATTACATCCGATTGTTTATGAAGGCCCGTAATAGATGACACATTTACACAGTGAAGATTTCAACAGCTGCATGCCACGAGGTTGTAGGGAAACAAACAACAAATTGTGACCACAAAGAGAAATTTTGTTGGCATTGAAGAGACTTTGCACGAAATTCAAAGAGTCTTGCTTGGGAAAACTGCTTCCCACACCGAAAGCCATAGGTCCACTTTATGACCTGTGCCGGGGCGCGGCTCAGCTTCCACTCGTCCCTTGCCACTAATATCCATTGATTTGCCAATTGCATATTTACTAAAGCTGAGTTTTGATGTTTTTCTTCCTTGAAAATTGAACGACCACAAGTAAAGGAAGCCTAAAGATGCTATTTTCCTTAAAAAGGCTTTATCGTTTCTGCAAAACGAAAATAGGGTAATTTTTATTTTGTTCGTTGAGACAGGTCAACTGTCTAAGGCATTTTTGCAATTTCAAATAAATAAAATGGTTAATAGGAACAGGTCAGTTTGAACTGGAGGACAGAAAGGAAGTTTTATTATTTAGAGCGACACGTAGCAAAGGTAATGTGTCCTACATTCGTAAAACTTAGAAGCAAAGGTGTAGCAATAGGCAAATTAATCGAATCAATTAAGCATCTATTTATCCGAAACGAAGTCCAATATGCCGAACCGTTATAGTCGTTAACCTATCTACTTCATCTGTTTAACTGGCTGTATACATTGAAGTCCTCCGTTTTGCATGTAACTTCATAACGCGCACAAGCCTACATACAGGCAAGAACTATACGTTCTAGAACTACATTAAAGTGTACATGATAGGGTTTCCCTAAGGCGATCACGACTGAAGCAATAACAAGCACAGCTGACCATTTACGCACTTCACAAAAAAACAAAAGTTGAAAAATAGGTTTCAAATTGACATAATGGATATGAATTTTTTGAGCTCCGCTTTTGCATCTGTACCCTCATGTAGCAACGCCCTTTCCAATGTGGCGATAGTAACGTACAGGAAGCAATGGAGCGAGTATACCGAGTAGCAGGAGTCGATAAGGGTCTGTCCAAGTAGAAAATTTCGACAGCGTTTGGAGTGAATACGCCAGTTACTGTCTGATACTACATGACAAATCCGGTCGTTCTTGCCGAGCTTGAGCTGGTGACTACTGCGACAGCGAGGATCATGGTTGTTAAAAGCCCTAGCATATCGAAACTTTGAAGCGGCTTGATCAGCATCAATAAACAAGGTCGACAACGGCTAAATGTTCGAAATAAACCGTATTGATGAAGTATTTCTGCTGTTGAAGAAAGACCGTGAAGTCGTCATGTGCGCTTCGAGGTTCATATATGAATTTCACTTCAGTGCATCTATTTATGAACCATGCATAGCCGGCGAGTGGAAGTTGTCAGGAAGCTGAAAAGGGCTATTATTGAAATGGCCCTTTTCAGCTTTAGGCCTGTCGTTGGCTAAATGTTCAAGAGCTCAGACGAATCTTTTTTGAGGCACTATTCATTGTACACATAGTTCTCTACTCGAGTGCGTCGAATGAAACATAATCGTTTCGTGTATATATAAGGCGCCATTTCATGTATATGTACATATCGACCCTTATACGGCGTAAATGTTATTACTATGTTTATTTATTGCCGACACAGTCCATAGATCCATGCTCTCTTGGAACCGCGTTGTGTATTACTGTGTAGATCATACCAGGTGGTCAGTACAGCCCCTAGGAAGTGTCAAGTCGACCATCAATGTACTCCGGAATCAAGGATCTAATGTTTACCGAGAGTAAACGTATCAACGTTTTTGTCCAATTGGCTTGGCGCAACGAGGACTATTAAGCGTTCCTCCAATGAACGGTCAGTTTCGCGTGCCCCGCTATTGTTCCGTATGTAGCCATTGAGGCAATGCCGGTTGATAACTATAATGCAATAAGCGCCCCCCAGACAGTTTGGCGTGAGCCAAATGTGATACGCTTATGTTATGTTTCGTCCGATAATTTATATATCCTATGCCTGTATCCATACTTCTAAAAAATTCATGTACGGCCGTTCCAGGCTATTTCGAGCCGTCAATTATCGCCAGTGCAGCCTACCAAAGATGAAAACTGTGTTTAGCACGTTGCCGTCCTACGTAAGCAGTGGTGCCCTGAATCGCACTATATAGTTGCTGTCCTATACTATATAGATTGATGTATCCGTTCTACGACATTGAGACTTAGGTCATATTATTAAGGTTTCTTTGCAGAAGACATTCCTTTTCTTTGGCAGTTTGAATCGTTCTAGTAATAAATTTAGGGTTATAAAAATTTAAAAAAATTAGGAAAAGGCTAGCACCGGTGTTATGTGTGGGAGTTTTCTATTGACTAGGTAAGAAATGCTACATTTTAAATGCACCAGCTAAATCCTATTAAGGATCGTTTCACCACACCTATCAGCTGAAAACGCTCAACGCTGACGGTCAATCGTAGGGTACAGCTTGGGCACCTTCACACATCTAAATATGAACAGTTTTTCTGACAATGGCGTCAGACGTCACAGTCTGAAGTAGCTGGCGACGTCCAGGCTATTTCTTGAAGGACAGTCATCCGAATACATATATATCTCAATTATATGTAGCCACTTATGATGTCGCGTAGCTTCAAAATGGCTGAAACCACCCATCGCAAAGGAAACGTACTTCAACCCAGATCTTGAATCCAGACCTCTTTACTAAATAAACCATAGCATTATCATGGGGACACATAATCATTAGACTAATTCTTTTTTTCAATGGAGCACAAAAATGTTTCGAAAGTCTCTTCCTGTGGCCAACAAATACCAGTTTTTATTACCACTTGTAAAACCAATCACCGGTGCTTTTATCTCGGAAACTACTCAAGAATTAAATATTGTTTTTGCTAAAAATAACAACGTTCTTTACTTACATGCAAAGTAAGGCACCACGTCTATGAAATTCCGCGGGGATCACTTATTAGGTTAGCTATGGCAGGAGGTCGAAGAATACTTCGAAATTGTCCGCAGTCTTCATCCACAAGCAACTATGAAGTATTTAGTCAGCTATCATGGCACATAATGGCCGCTATCACATCCTGCAATGTATCAGCAAGATGTTCTGCTTTGTGGACAAACGGCAAGACGGTTCTATAAAGAAGTAACTTGATTCGAACACGTCACAATGATGATTGGGCAGCGTAGTCTATACGGACTCATCCGTTGTATAATTCTGCCGTACGTACTCGTGCTGCATAGTTACGATGGCTAGAATCTTTGGAATTGCTTCCTGAGATCGAACTGATGGCAAAACTCGTTCCTAAAGAAATATAGATCTTCGCCAGAGTTAACAGGCAATACGGCTTTGACTGATTCGATACGATAGCTATGTACTTTCACACAGACCTATCTAGTTGTCTACGTCAGTTTCGGCACGAGTAGCATTTTAAGTGCAAAAAAAATCGTTTCGCAAGCTGCGCCTGATACCTAACGGGACTAATCCATCCTCAATGAAGATTCTCTAACCAAGAAGCACCATCTTCATGATGCCCTCATAGTTCACATGTAGTTTCTTTTCGGTGCAAGCAATAGTCAGCTTCTCACCCGCATTCTAATCTTAAGTTTTTTTTAGTTCCTTTTCGCCAGCCGCCTCTTCCAAGAACAGCTCTATTCTGATTTCTAGTTCTTTTGGTCCAGAACCGTCGCGACCCTCACGTAGGTCTGGGGCAGTATTTCAGTGAAGAGGTTTGCTATAGATCGAACGTACCTTAATGGCGGCCTTGAGAGCGATTCAACCGGACGATGTTAATTCCAGTTGTACTTCACTCCGACAAGCGTAAGTACTTCGCTCGATGTTAACAGATCTATAGCACAGACCATCCCGATTCAGTAGCTACAAACCGGACCGAGTTCTTTGTTAACGGCGGCTTGATTTTTCTGATGAACCTAGCTTATTTTTAGCTAAGTACTGGTTCTTGCAGCGTCTATTTTACAATGTATACTTTAAACTGCAGTTGAAGTTGTCGATGCCGCAGGCAAGCGGAATATAGCAGACAAACCGAGAGATTTCGATCGGACCGGCATTTGTTTACAGATTCAATTTGTGTGTCATGATCATCTGTTATCATTGTAAACTTACGATGTAAAATGAGCTGACATAACAATGTAATTGCTAGAATCCGTGCATTATTTTACTTAGCCATTATTACTTACGATTATTATCCTCCTTGACGTATGCTTACATTATGTCCTATCATGTTGTTCTCCGTACTTCGAGTTGACTCAATACAGTGAAGGTAAAGATGATCTCGACAAACAGATTTGCTGTTTCCTAAAAGAAGGGCACCTCGTCCTATTGTTGAATGCCGCGAGCCCTTGTTCATGATGATTCAAGCTTCCTTCTCACTTCTTTGTAGGGAACTGTCATTGTGTTTGAGTCGTCGAAAACTCGTAGTTGGACCGTAAGTCGTCGCCAAAAACCCACCCATGAATGTAGGTTTACATGTTTTAAAGTTTAAAAATCTTTTTTGTTCATATTGAAATTATTATTACTTCACCTGTACCTATAATTTTTTATTTGAATTATTTTTTCTTGACATTTATTATAATAGTATTATTAATTATTATATTAGGATTATTTTTACCACTAAATACTCTCTACGTTCCGTGATCTGTTAGCATAGCTCGAATATTCATCAAGCAGTGACGCCTGCTGTCGTTGCTTCGTCACTCAAGACCTGCTGGGTCTGCTATACTAATGTCGTTTTCGCTGCCAATTTATGCTGAATATATCAATCCGGGTTATGGCTATTGCGAAATCCTGTAAGCAATAGCGTCTGTCGCGAACCGGCTTCACGACTTTTCTTTCTGTGATGAGAAACTTCATACTAGCTGGCTTCTCTACGCGTTTATGGAATATTTTTAATTGCTGGAGAGTGATTCGTATTGCGTGCACAAAGAATACAGCACAGGACGAACAAGTAACTTCTTCAACAGGACTGAAAGTGACTGGGCAGCTCAGAATCAGAATCAGTTATTGGTGGCCCGAAAACGACAAAGTCGTACCGCATAAATTGTACCGACGGAACTTGACGTAACTTTAGTGTCCTTACAAAAAGAAGCAAGACCAAGCGTTCAGTTTATCTATGCATTCTTTATTAAGAATCGGCTTACGATACGATACTAAATTAACACAATCATCCATGTACCTTAACCTCCTAACCCGGAATTTACGGGTTTGATTTACTTCCAAAAATCGTTAGTTCAGGGTCCGCAGAAGGCATGCAGGAACTACACAAGCTGTGTGAATGAAAAAATGAAGGTATTTGTATTATCTTGTATATTGAAATCCTATGTAAATTGACTACTACTTGCCAGGTAGTAGTCGATGGCACCTGCGCAGCATCAGAAAGTTTGCGGCACTTAGTATTAGCCTAAGAACTTAAATAGTTTCCCTCTACAAAAACTATATGTAAGTCTACTTTGGTAAAAGCAGAGGGCTGCGATGGATTGAGTAACCCATTATAAACACGTTTTTATATTAGGTGTCGCACAGAGACAAAATGTAGGACGATTGACGAAGCAAGGTTATGAGGAGTGTCATATTATATATGGCGAGCACTGAAATATGGGCTATTATTGAAAAAAGGACTGCCCTGTTCCTGTTGCAAATTCAGGAGTCAGAATTAGACAACTTGCTCAATTTAAGTTCTACAGTAGAACAAAACAAATATCGAGCTCATAACAACTTACCACTCCTGAACAAGCCTCTTGAATTAGAGCAGTGGTTACCTTACCTGTGCTCTAACTCTGAAGGCGGAACACTTAGTACCAGGGGCTAGGCCCATTTATCGGACTAAATGTTTTTAGCCTTAACGCGCACTACTGCCGTTCAACATTTTCCAGTAAATATTTATTAGCTTGAAAAAGCTAATTTGTTGGTATTAATTATCAGATAGGTACAAAGGTGCCGCTCAGCGTATTATATCATTTACTATCTTTTATTTGCCCTATTCCTCAAGTCACTAGCGTTAGTCTTACGGACAACTTTTTCATCGGCAGGCTCCCAGCTAAAACCCTTCGAACGCCTTAATACTCAATGTGTTTAAAGTGCCACCGAAACGCTGAAACTACTCCTCGTGACGCTTTACTTGGTTCGAGGGGTGTCATTCTGATTGATCAGCTTCTACAACGGCCAAAAATTAAAAAAATTTGGAGAAGTTATTACCACTCGCTTGAAGTGAAATAGCTTAAAACTGAGTGGATAAAAAAAAAAAACTACATTTTTTGGTATTTCCCTTTGACCTTAACGTGTCTAATAATACATATAATAACAAGAAAGCTTGAGTTGAAAGGAAAACTTAGTTGTCTGAATTCATTTGTACTGTGGGTTTCAGCGCAGCGGTGTTTCATAATAGTAAAAATGAAAGACAAAAGAGTAAAAACAAATATTCATAGACATCAAATCAATAACATCGCTCTTATTACTTTATGTCAGATAACACTCATACAAAAACCACTCGCTTTCTGAACTGTCAACATTTCATATCATAATGGGTGTTCTATCTATTAGATGAAATAAATTACTTTTTTTTTTTTTTTTAAATAAAAAAAACTCCTCATAAAAACACTGCACGGTAACTGCTTCAAAAAATGGGTATATAAAGCGGGCTAAATTGATCCTTCGACGTTATGTGTATGTTAACTTGCGAGCTACTATTTTTACTTCAATTCGAGTTCCATGAGGTTGAGAAACTGCTGGGAAGTTATGCCTACCTTTCAGAGGTTATTCATTTCGAAAGCACGTTAGTATTCTTTGAGGTTCCATATCGCGTAAGTTGAAACGAATAGCAGCAGTTATACGTAGATACCTAGCTAGTCCACTGTAATCTATCTCGTCTGAATGATCTATGTACAAACGGCCTCTTGGCCTAGAGTCAAATTATAATGGTGTCTACAAAATATAGAATTATCGCTATCGTCTCACAGTCATGTTTGGCGCGTTCACGCATATGTTTGTACAAATAATTATGAAATTACTTTCGCCGTTACAAAATATTCGTGACATAACGTTTGCGATATAATAGAAATTACAACAATGCGTTAGATACAATTCCACCGTTAGTATCACGTTGAACTCAAGTTCGACTTCAATCTTCGATCAGTCCTGCGACCGCTGGCGCAACCGGTCCAGCAGTATTACGTATAGAAATGATTGATTCACCTATCTAACATTATGATATTGTGTTCGAAATTCTATCTCCCGGTTCTAATATTTGTTCGGAAGGGTGGCTTAACGAGGAGGAACAGTCTACTACGATTTAACGCATTTATCGATTAAATACTGCGCTTACTAAGTAAGTATGGAATTGCTGGAATGAACTTATTAGCTAAGCACTAAGTTGTACTGAAATTTCTTATAGACACGTTATCAACATGCCGCGGATATAAGGATTTCGTGGTTATGCCGACGATCCGCTGTGCTATCGTTCAAGCCAGTCAGGTTCGTCTATATTTTCGCTGATTGAGAGCAATTATAAAATCGACGAGAAGTCAATTATGGTGACCGACGCATTCAATGCTATGCGCCGATGTTGACGTTGGCGTTTCCTTCGTATCCGTATGTCCTGGCAGGAAAACGGCCACGATACGGCAATTATTTGTTCATAGACATCGGTGCATGCATTTTTCCATGCGGCCCACGAATCTTTGAAAAGTGTCGTTCATATCATAAGCTCTGTCTTCAGGCTGCGAATTTAAATGAAATAGACCGAACAGCGTGGGGTTTATCGTGAAGTTCGTAGGCGTTGACCGTTGGCTCATCTTTTGCCTCCAAATAGATGTTTAACCTGTGTTTTCCCGTTGGGCTTCCAGCACTTACAGGATCCGTTAACAAGAAACCAGTCATAATACATTCTCACTATAAAGCAACCGACATTATCGTATCCGTCACATTTTAAGGCCTTCTTCGACAGTTTCGATTTAGGCGTGGGCGGCTGAGAAAAACTCTTCCTTTGAACAGATTCCTAAAATACAAAGTAAACACAGCGCTTAGTGCTCACCTAAGTACGCAGCGTGACCTAAGAAAAAAAACTGAGGTTTCAAGGTGAAATAGACATATAACGAATACTTTGTTACGAAGGCAAGACGCTGCGTAACATTTTTGCAATCACTATCCGTAACGTTCGCGCGCAAAGAGGAAACGCTCTATGATGTGATCCAATTGTATGCACCGGTCCGTAAGCATACGCCCTAACGTTTCCTGAATATACTAAACCCGCACTTGTATGACAATTAGCTACGCTGACAGTTACTTGTTCCCCGTTAACGAGTATGCCCAAAAGATTTTTCGTGTTCTTAAGCCGTTAAACATTGCTCCAGACGGCTGGCTCCCAGCGAAAACGAAGTGTATTTACGTCCAAATTTGAATCTAAGCTACAACGCATGTAGCCACGGCGAGTTAACATACCTCATCATCGGCGTCATGTACGTCGCGCTTGCTTTTTCGGAGGCGGAAACCGTGGCTGTGGGTTACTCTCCTTTGTAGATACTGCTGGAAGTTATGAAAGTCCTCAACAGGCGGTGGCCTTTGAAACCAATCGGCAGCTGATACCGGCTTCTGGTACACAGGGTATAATCTGCTAGGCGCTGGTTGCGGGCCTGGAATGGCTGTGGACAATATAATAGCTTTATTATGAAGTTGTCGCTTTGATTATTCTATTTATGTTGGTTCATCTGTAGGACATAAACGACCGGCTTGGCTTTGTTAAAAACCAGGAGAGTCCAGTATAGAACAGGACATATAAAGGATTCCGAAACGCCTAACCGCCTCAAGTACTCGTGGTGGATAATTTCAGGACACGGCGGGTTGAATAGTCCGGCCTAGCTAGGGGTTAGCGCGTAAGATTCATACGCGAAAGGTTACATTAAAAATGTTGAATAACATTCAAAATGCGCTCAAAGAATTGGGGGAAAATGGAATTATGATAGGTCGTGGCACTTATGGTAAATTATGACTAATCAATGGAGCACTCTCTAAGCGGTAATTTCTGATCCAACACCCTCAGAGAAATTATGCATCATACCTGAATACTACGATAATATTATTGGGTATTACGGAAGTTTTTCATGCTCACATTTCTCAAATAGTGTAGGAACTCGTGAAAGTTGATTGAACGATTGTGCGAATGAAGGATGGTGAGGGGGCAGGTGAGGTGGTGGCCTAGGAGGCCCAGTTTTCAGACTGCTGTAAGGTGGAAGGCCCTGTCCACCGCCGGAGGGCGCAGGCGGTACTACAGCGTCAGGGTAGAAAATTTCAGCTACGAGAAGTGAAACCCAACGTGGGCTTTCATGACATAAGCCGTTCTCAACAAAATCACATGTCTGGGACCTGCATAGTAAATCGCAGATAGATTCGCTTAAATCACTGATGTTAGTTCACATTTCAAGCGGTTTTACTGACAGCAGGTGGGTGGGCAAGGTACGCGTTATAATTTTACCAAGGCCATTCAATAAAATATATAATGAAAGAGTTTACGCAGTAAAAATATAGCGTACAGTTGTTACTTTATATAGTTATAATGGTTATTGAAACAGTCAAAAGTAACGTGTAGATGTAACTAAAACGCATGCTATATTTTTTCTTTTCAATACGTTTTTTTATTCTAGCTGTACAATAAATTGCTTCCCCATTAAAATAGAACTATCAGCTACATACCGAGCACTAGCTATCAATTATTTCAAATGACGGATAAATCATTTGCCTTGTTTCAAAAATTAAAATTAACATAGACTTTTTTAGTTTATTCAAAAACATTTTTTACTTAAAAGACACTGAACATTTCCATCACTCACATGCAGGTTGTTTGCTGGATAGTTTGTGTTAGGTATCCTTCTTGCGGAATTTGGACCACGTATTTCCATACGCCCTGATAGTTTCGGGCGTATACTGGGGTAACGTATTCCTCCATCGACGGACAGGGCGTCGGTGGCAGAGAACTTCCGCTACGAGAAGCCTGCTCAGGCTTGTCACCCTTAACGTACACCTTCTCAATAGACTCATCGGATTGCTTTTTATAGCGGTTACTGTTAATTGCGGGTAAATCGAATTGAAATCACAGAAAAATATCGATTTGGAATAGAAGCGTTATTCTCTATCTAAGCACACATAATTTACTTAACCATACATGTTGTGTGTTACGTGTTGATGTTGGGTTTCGAACCGTGACCACCGACACTGCGTCTTTCAACCTAAACTTTAGCCATCCAGGCTACAGCGGAGGCTCTATGGCGTTACACGAAGCGCAGATTGTTAATCGTACCTTTTCTACTGCTCGCTTATCTTTAAAAATATGAGCATCTAAAAACTACTTAATCTATCTGGGAAGTTCTTGGAATTAATCTGTGTTCATGTCTATGGAATAAGGCAATGTTGCTCTTAAAAACAAAAACGTTTTGTTTTATCATTTTTAGCAATCACTTAAAAAAATATTTTTCAAGTATTTCCTTGTGTAACTTACAAGTGCTTTTTTGTGTTCCTTTTTTTAAAGATATTTTATTTTTACGCGACACATTCGGCTGTGTTTATTGTGTGAAGGAATTCTCAGAATCACCTCTTTGGTAGAGTGTTAGGGACTTGCTTAAACTACTACGTGTTTCGTATCGGATGATTATTAGATAGAGATCTATAGTTGTTGTAAGTAGCCGTCTACTTAAACAAGTGTTAGCCGGATTGAGATTGCCTACCTGTTGGTATACATATTGGCAAGAAGTTTTACTGGTGAAGATTCGGATGTCATGAAATCGAGGACCTGAACAATTGGTGAGGGGTTTGCCGAGCTCGCTCCGCTCGCACCTGTGAGCGCTGAGAGCACTTGGCTCAACGGAGACCTATCAGTTACACACACGAATAGCCCGAGTCAAGATAAGTTTCATCATTGCAGAGAATGCACGTGTTTGCTAGATTACTACTACTATTATCGTCATTAGGTTTACATGGTACGAGTTATATATATATATATATATATATCAGGACTAACTTTTGCGCTACGTTCGTTATCTAGTCGGGATGCGTTCATATGGAAGAAATTTTCTTCTTTCTATAACAAAATGACGAAACCAACATGGTCGATATTGGGTGTCCTTTTTTACAATATGAGCGAAAGTCAGCTGCCATTCATTATCTTTGCATCGGATGTACTCTTCACAGGCAAAATGATGAACTTTCTTGAGTCCTTTAACCTGCTTCATTGGCCAAAATTGAGTGTTTCCCGCGTTACCAATAGCACGAAGGGCAACAGCAATAGATATATGTACTTCTGACGACAAAGAACACGACTGGATAACTACCGAATGGACTCCACAGCTGACTGAAAAAGCGCAAAAAGGATTTTCTGACAAATCTAGTTTCTCGGTGAGCACTTCAACAGTTTAATCTACGGCTTCTAGATCGAAATTATTCACGAACGGTGCACGCACGAAATGTATATCATCGCAGTGAGGTAAAAGCTTTTTAGAAACAACGAAGCTAGGAGTCGCTATTGGACCTAAAGTCCCTTCAAAGCATGGCAATGAACTGTCTACGATTTTCCACCGATACAAAAAATGCTCGCCGCCGATGCAAAGATCAATTGCAGGAACAATCGCGGATTTTCTTGCGGTCTCGCGAGAATTTCTAGCTAACTTCCGCGTTCTGAACGTCGTGTCCAATGAAGAATACACTATATAACCAAGCTTTTTTCAGAAGGGTGTATTCGTAAACCAAGAATCTTAAATAATCTTCAGAATTCACAAGCAGCTTCAATCCACCAAGGATCAGAGGCTTCTAAGAAAAACTCGCTTATTTAGACTATCCAAAGAAGATGGCGGTATCGTCTACCGTTACTTTATCAAATAGCCTTTGTGTGTTTAAGACTAGTTAGTGCAGGACTGTCTAACTGGCTGAGTATGTGAGCACTATCTGGCACAAAAGCCCGCTGTCATCTGACAGCCCAGGCTTGGGTTATTACGTATAAAGCGTGATCAGGCAAAAGGATAACAAAGTTCAGTGCCGTAATGTCAACTCGCTCCCTATCGCTTTTAATTCTAACTTTCATTGTAACGGTCTATTCGGTAAATGATGCACATAAAACGTGTAAAAGCGATAAAATAGCATCTTTAGGTAAGCCTACAGTTAGTGCTGGGCCAGGATACAAGATTGTCCATAGACACCAAATATACTAAGATTTTTATCCCTATTAAGAAGACGTTTAAAATTATACTTAGAGATGTTCCACTACCAATTTTGAAACGCTTTAAACGTCAACTCAAGGTACCGATCAAAATGAATGGCAGTAAAGCACGAAAGCGTCCGTTAGGTGCGTCCTTCTTAACATGTACAGAAGTTATAATTGGATTTCTTGGCAAGACAAATATGATGTGACAAGAAGGACGGCCCAGGACCACATTGACGCCGGTAGAAATCGCTGGCAGCAAGTCGAAGTGGCGCAAAAAAAAACTAGAAAATCACAGAGCCTACAGAAAAATATGTAAATGAACACGGGTTCTGCTACCGGGGACCGGAAGCCAGGTCCAAAGTTCTTCATGTTTATTGGACGGCGGCTATACAAAAAGACAAAACGCTACCATTAAAATAAGATGATGGATAAAACACGCCTAGCAAGACAGGCCAATAGCACGATGACGACAGCGCGCAAGGCTTACGTGCACTGCAATAGCAGAGTAAGCTCAACTGTAGCAATGGTACGTGCGCGGATACCTCACAAAAATCTCGTCCACATTTAGAAACAGGCACACAAGTATGCTGCGTTATGCACGGAATATAGCCGAAGACAATAGAGCACATTGTATTGAAATGGTTCTCCGTCGGATATTACTTAAGTATTATTGATTCAGGCAGCTGGCCTCTTTCAGGCACTAAATAAACCCTGTGAGCCTCAAACCTAGACCCTCGCCTTTCAGTTCTAATTATTCTTAACCTTAGTAGGTAAACACTTTCTTACTACAAAACCATAATGACAAAGCATGCGGTGCTGGAAAGTAACACTATAGACGCCTGGCTGAGCGAAAACTTTGGCGTAGCTGAGGGTATCAGACGCGGTGGCACGCGTCGACATATTTAGGGAGAAGAGAAAGAACGGTCTAAGAATCCATTCGTTTCCCATATAAATACCATGCCGTAACATTATTTATGGATAATAGCGCTTAGCAGGAGGATATGAAACCACAAACATATCTACACGTACAGAGAATAAAAGAAATGCACTTGAATGTATCGATCGTCTGCATGTAAGATGCCTGCTGCGCCGTCCTATACAACCTCAGGAAAAGGACTGAAATAGGCCGAAGCAGCGCGGCTGTGGTTCCGCAAACAATTTGGTTACCCTGTACAATCGTCACAGAATCGAACGAACATATAAGACCTCCTGCATTAACGAATGATTCGAATGTTTTCGTTTTTCATTAAAAGAGCGCAAATTTCCATTTATAATTTCATCATTGTTCTCATCACAATACAAGGCAGAGCAAAAGCGCTAACGAATGCCCTTTCAGGCTGCTGTCACTGTAGGCAAAGGGAGACGTGAAAGAAAGCGTAAGGCGTAGTTACTGTTAAAGGCCGAATGTAACAGTTGAATTAATTACGATATTCCTTGTAGGGCCTAGCACATCGTCTATGATCTACAATTAGACACGGCCATAATAGGAAACATAGCTTAGTAATAAGTTGCAAAATACACATATCTTCCTGAAAAGTCGTCAGACTAAGGACAGTCGTAATATTCGCACTTGAATTTTAAATTGTGAATCAGTTAGCGTGGCGTTCTCCCCAAAAGATAGAGTCAACGGGAGAAACATGAAAACAGCTCCTTTTGTCAGCCTTTTATCCCCGCCATATAGCCCCTCCCGGGGTTCTGAATACTGAAATACTGAACTGGACGGTAACACCCTCGTTTATTATTATTACAACACCCGTGTTGAGTCTAGCAGTTTTTATTTCCGCAGACGATATTACCTGCTAGAAACATTTTAAAACACACGTTTAGCAACGTAACTGATGCGGTCTTAAACTGAGACCTGGCCTTACGTGATAATAATTACGCATAACTATGAAGCATGCACAAATAGAGATTAGGGCAGAGTAATAGTGGCTTTTCCTAAAGAACTTACATGTCTAAGTTGGTTTGGTCGTTGCTTCGTATAAAGATGATCTTTTTTTTTAGTGACATAGTAATTGTTGTGCTCAGGAAAACTAGTTGTTTTGTTCAGAGAGACATGCTTAATTTTTGATTGTAGTTTCGAACCGCGAAGACGGAATAGGCCTTATACAATTACCTATCGTTTTGAATAGATCAGTTTGCTCTTGGGTGTTTGTCCTTCTTCCTATTCCGTTTCATGATAAACCAGATTGGTCTGTTAGCGTTTTCTTTGACAGAACGCTTGTATTTTAAAATTTTACAACAGTACTCTGTCACGACCCATTTTATCCGATAACCTATGTCCAATCAATTGAATGCATATATATATATATGTAGGAATGCAGTATACGTTGTTCCGCTCTGTGTATCTGGAATGGGAAAGTGTTATGTAGAAAGACCGCGGACAATCGGCATGACAGATCTGATTAATGGGTAAATAGGAAGCAGGAGAGCAGTGGCAAACACGCACCTTGTGACGACAGGCGCGGCCGTTGTTGAATCATGGTTGACTGCGTTCAAAATGTCGCCCGCATAACTTAGTACATTTAGAAGGTTGGTAGTTGTCGATGGACTGCCGCTTGATGGTTCCGGATTTTGTACCTGCTGGGCGGGGGCGTGGAATACACAACACACAGAGAGAGACCCACAAGAATATAAAGGAACATTAAGCTTTACAGAATATGGGTCACTGTGTTAGACTCAATAGCTCCATTAGACATTTGGCAAAGCTTTATTATTAACATTAATAATGTCGTTATTAAATGCTAAACAAAAACATTTTATGACGATTTGATATTTTTCGATTGATTTGATGATAAAAATATCAACAGGGCTTTTAGATTTTTTATCTAAAAAAATTGCTAATATATATATATATATATAAAAAATATTGATTAAATTTACTTGCTATTGGAATACTAAGTAATAATTTACTTATTATAGGAATACTGATTCTGCTCCTGAAAGCCCTGCACTTATTTATTGTAGCCTGAATTTACATCTTCATGAATTTTACGTGTAATATATTGACTCGGGTTTATTAATCAAAAGCGCATTATGCACTGAATGAAGGTATAATAAACATTTACAGAAGTTCACTGAAAAACCATTTAAAACTCTCCCTGGGAAGTACGTTTTTATCCCATTACTGCATAGACGAAGTAGATCGTACAATAGGTTTTAGCGAGGTGAAATACCAGGAATGTAAGTTAAGTTTGAAGTGAATGCCGAGTTTTCCTATCCTAACCGCCCTCAACTTCACTTGAAACTTGAGTTTAAGATAGAGGGAGAGAACGACGGCACAAGTAGTTAGAGTTTTGTTATAGCAATGGAGCATGGAATAATTACCGTGTGACAATCTGACCTCCGTTACAAGATTAGAAGATGTCTAGATTGCTAAAGGGGTATATCTGAGTTCTGCTAACTGAAAAAAAGGAGCAAGGTAGTGAAGCAGTCCGATTAAACTACTTAATAGGATCCCGTAACCTAGTGACCTTACTGATACGAAGTATGAATAGAAAATTATTCATAGAGAGGAGGAGCTCATGCGATAGGATAACTTGTCTTAGGACGAAAAAAGTTTAAGCTTACTTTAGGTTGAATTTGCAGCGGGTATCAGGATTGTGTGACTTTGCATCCAGTGTATATGTTCGGTGTAGGTATTGTCTTTTAAATAAACAACGAAGTTGATACGCGCGGATCTTCGATGATAAAAGCAACCATCCGGTTACTTTTATCCTCGAACCTTCGAATGCTTCGCAGGTTGATAGACGACAGGTTTCTTAATAATAATAACTCAGTTTCTGAATCCCTTTATGGTGTGCTAAGTTCCTGAGTTTCACTAAAAGGTTCTCACTGATATGGTCTGTATATAGATATAAATATAAAATCAACATATAGCGTCATCTAACAAACATCATTGTTAATATTAGCTTCGTGAAATTCGTTTTACGTTATTCAAAAAATGTATGTATCCCGTTAGGGTGTTTTCCAGTTTTATTCGGGTAACATCGGGTATCACGCAAGTCAAGTACAATTCTGCCACACCAAAGTTATCAGCTTACGGCCGAGCAGCGGGCTCCACGAATTGTCGTTCATTTTCATTTTGTATCATTTTGCCCTTTTTCGAAAAAGACAACCTTCTTAAAAAAATCCGATCGCCAACTACACTAGAAAAAAGTATCCCTTAAGACAGCTGTCGCCGCAGAGCAAGCTGCTACAATAACCTTATTGGAGATTTGTGGCGTTGCCGCAAGATTAAGCAAGCCCGACAGGGCGTTCAGCATCGCCGCGGAAGACCCAGATCGCTGTCGCTGTAGTTGACTCATCACGGAACACAGGCTGCAAAATGAAAGAACGAACGTTTGCGAGTTACTAGAGATGAATCAGATCTGTCATTTTGATGAAAAGCATTGGGTTGCCTGTGGCAGAAGTGTTGTAGCCAGGCTCCAACGTGTTGAACACCAGAATGCCCTGTAAGTGTCCAAATTGAGTGAAACGCTCGCCATTTGTTGAGGATTAAAACTAAATTAGATTTTGCCCATATCATATTAAAGAACTAAAGAGCATTAGGTTATGTCTGAGCTCTTCTCTTCAGCGATGCAATATCTAGACGAAATCTACCTAACTACATGTTTCGAATTGTAGGTCCGATCCCACAAGTGAGTTTTTTCTGTGTTGCCGCTTCTCACTGCCAAAGGCCTCTTTCAGTAGCGCGGAACGGGCCCCGTGCCTGTCTCGAACCAAGACAACCTTACCTGTTTCTATGTTTAACAGGCAAACGCCTTACCGATACGCCATCTCACGAGGACACACAAAATCTGTTTAGCTGGGTCGTGTCGAAGTTTGCCCACGCTAAGCACCTCCTGTTAAAATCCTTGAACAGGTATTATGAAGGGTCCCTAACAGAAGGTATCCGCAGGACTACGGACTCTGTGCTTGCGCTGACGTGCATATTTACAGTTGTCTTCCATTAGATCAACGCAAATCTCACTGACGCAGACGAATCACAGTTAACTTTGGACGCTCAATCAAGTATTCAAACGTCAAATGACAATTAAATATGGAGTAGAGCATGAGCTGGACTAATTGTTAACGAGCTAAATGAGCTTACCTAGCTAAAAATTTGCGAGAGGGGGCGTTAGTGACGTTTCTCTATCTGCATTTTAGACAATTATATACGTAAGTTCAATCAGGCATCTTCGACATGTTCTCCTTCTCATTTTGCAGTTTAATAATGAAAAGAAAAGACGAAGATAGATCTTCGAGGCTGGTAGCTGCGAAAAACACCAGAGCTGTCTATAGAGCAGAAATGGAACATGGTGATTGATTGATGTTTATGTTTACAATTCACAAACATTATACACGTGTCGACAGATGCTCCGAGATAATGAAGCCTGAAATAGATTTATGTTCAAAAATAGCTGCTATAGAACATACGTCGAGGAACATATATTTAATGAAAATTTCCTATTATTAGATTTTGAAACCAACCCAGGGGTACATGGTAGCTAAAAATTAAATCTGGACCGTGGATCTAATCATTTCCATATCTAGTAAAGAAGCAGAGATAACAAATCCTTGACCCTGTCAAATTATGTTTTTACTATAGATAAACTATAAGTTTTCCAACCCATAATAGATATTCACGAGTGCGGTTGCGAGGAGACACAAAATCGACTAACATATAGCCCACATAATTTTTCATAGCCTATATATTGGCAATTGTTCCGGCATTTTATGCAGGATAAAGAAAAGCCAGGTTTACAATAGAGAAAACTCAAGCATACAATTAAATACTCAATTTATAGTTGTGAAAAAAAAACGTCTACATTTGAAGCAGTAACCGCATAATCTGGAAGCCAATGGGAGAATAGGTTCGTTTTACCCTGTATGACGGCAGTTACCCACATGTGGCAAAGTGTCAAACAGGCTGACCTTCAAACACCTGTTGGACGGCTAAACGCCCCAGCGAGCGCGTTCTCTAATATAGGGCAGGATTTTCCGAGCACTTATTGGAGTAGTTGATTCGACAGCAGACGACCCAATGTAGAATCTTGCCAAGTAGGTCACTTTAACATAGTCGTGTAGCGGTATACTATATATCAGTATTTCCGAGTAAAGAGCAGCTCGTAGAAAGGAGTCAGGTTTAACCTTCTTCTACGAGCTCCTCGAGCTGTTCCGTCTCAGGTTGACAGTTACCCTTAGTTTCGACACACGGTGTACAATGCTGCTTAATTTCGAAAAACCTCTGCTAGAATTGAGGTTTTTTGCGCCGTCCGTTCAAAGAGGGTGCTTACCGTCAAGGGCAAATCTTGAAGTCGTTCGTGTGATTCTACGTAGCGCAGCTGGCATCGACAGTATGTTACGAGTGAATTAGAAAAACGAAACAAACCGAGATCGTCGAGTCTAAACGCATCTTTTCCGTAGCCCTTTATTAAGGACGCAATGCACTCCAAACGTGCACTCAACCGCAATGCAGTTTCCTTCGTCTTTTAGACTTTAACTGTTGAATCATTCGAGTCTAGACTTACCATAAAAAAAAAACAGCGTTTCTTTTAGCAAACGGTGCCGGATCGAAATTGTACTCCGTAAAGATAAAATTCTGCTCCGCTACCATGATCATCTGGCTGTGATAGCTGAAAAGAAGATCGAGTAGACGATCGTTACCCTCGAAATATGTTGGGCATCGCCTGCGTCGAAAAGGGTGACGAACTCCAATCAACAACTATGCATCACAATGTTCCCATGGAGCTTACGTTCGGCCCAGTATGCGTTTTTTAAATCCTATACAGTGCGAAACGTTTCTAAAAGTATAGTCTGATTAGAATACACAATTAGCAGAAATTATTATCACGTCCTAGACATTCGGACGTTATCGATACGATTGAACGAATTACAAATGAAGACATTCAAGAAGAAAGCGTTTTGTTGTCTACTATCAAAAGCTGGAATAATTCCCCTGGCAAATTCTTCCACACTGATCCTACTAACCACTGATAGGACTAATCGACAACGTTCTGTACAAAGCAAACACTATCTGATAGATCGGTCACAGTTTTGTAACTAAACAAAACTTAACAACTAACTAAACAAAAAAGTATTTTTACATGCCTTTCAGTGAGCTGATCAAAAACAAAACCCTCGAATTTCTGTCCCGGTCTTTGCCGTTCCTGAAGCAGCAGAACAATCTCCCGAAAGTTGCACGCTTCGGAGGTCACGCAACTGTTTTAGGGCTCATGCCTGTGATACGCAGCAGTTCGGCTACAGGTCCGGGATATCGCTTCAAGAGGTCGCTTCCGAACGCGTTTAATTCGTCGTCAACGGTTCACATCAACAATCACGAAGTGAGCTATCACAAATCGGTGCCAATACAGACGCTTAAATGAAGCTTGTAATTAACGCAGATAGCTATGGTAGATCTCGTATTAATGATCAGGCTCGGGATAATACGTGAACAGCCTGCGCACGTTATTATTACGTAGGCGTTTACTGCAAAAATACGTTCTAGTTTCAACTTGGTCTACTGTTACGTCTACACCGAACAATGTTAGTATATGCACTTAAGGACAGTCTGCCAATTTAACTTACTAAACTTAATTGAATACGTGCTGCCATCGAGATGATAACGTGGATCAAATTGATTCTTAATATTTAGTTTTATGAAGTTTAATTATCGGCGGCATCGTGCGAGATAGGGCATGACCATAACATATATTACACGATTGGTACGATTACATTTTGTGTAAGATGTTTTTTTGTGTTTTAATATTTCGTCGTTGATGTTTGACAGGCTACAGATCACATCGATATGGCATCAAAAAGCAGTCTGAGTCCCGATCTCAGATCGACTTTGTCGCGGGAGAACATCCACCGGATGCTCAACGCCACCGTTAATGGGCTTTGTCAAAACGCCCAGGGAACGTAAGCTGCCGAAACAGTTGAAATAACGAAATATAATTTGTTTGTGATCTGTCACTTGTTTTTCTATTTGCAAAAGGGACGTATTTTTTTCTAGAGGCGTATGAACATTGCCTCAGACAGATGCATTGAATCGATGACGATATTATAACACAGTTATGCTAGTAATTATAGCAGTCCGTTAGAGAAGTTCCCTCAAAGAAAATGTCATGCAGCGGCCTTTTACAAGCGCATCCACATCTATAGAATGGTCATTTTCTTAATTAGTTGTTTTACCCGCGTCAACCCGGATCGCTGTTAATGAATATTTACAAACTACGTCAATTATCAGTCCGGGTTTCTTCTCAACTTCCATGTCCAGGGATCTATTAATTTTTCATGTGGCAGGAAGGTCTGGATTGTCTTGCTTTACAATACCGTAGTCAAATTTGAAACCTGTGTAGGTTAAAAATGCCATAACTATGGATAACTCTAACGAATGTCTGACATATCTGGTCTAGGAGCCGCTGATAATCCCTATTCTGTATCTCTCGCATTTATAAAAAAAAATATATTGATATCAACCCAAAAAGCTACTGTGACAACTGTATGACATCCGTATGCGTTATGGTCAAGCAATGCCTTGGAGCATCCATGATCGAATCGGACACTCCTGAGACGACCCTTTGCCACATATATTGTACACATATACCTGTTTGTCTGTGAAATGCACGCCCTGACTTTTCCATACTAATTAGATCATAATGAACTTTATTAGCCAACATCAGCGGCTAGAGCGAACACAGTAAGAGTGAAACTTCAATGTAGTCCAACAGGCTTCTGCATCCCTTCCTTAAGAACTAAACATTATCTGGACGCTCGGTTTGTCTGTAAAAGCAATCCAAAGGTTCAACTTGATAATACTGTAAATGTTGCTGATTCGTTTATTCTGTCATAATATCATGCCACATCCACGTTTATCCTTAACTACTCGGCAACGTTACGTGTTCATTGGTTTTGTCTAGTCAGCCTTTGTGGTCGGAACACGCGGTTGGCTCTCGATATACATTTGAGAACTTAGAATTTTTTTCAGGAAACATTTTTTTTGTTTGTTGCCGAACTTTCACGTTTACTTTCAATATTTTGCACAATGCGCCTATGTGCTTCATGAGGTAGAAAAGGGAGCTAGGAAAGCCGCATTGTTACATATCGATATTGTCCGATCGTTCTTTTGGAACAAAGCTATTGGACACTGTCTGCAAGGAAGTTAGATGGTCATAAAAAAAACTCTAGCCATCCCAAAGGTTTTAAAAACTGAGGAAAGTTTGCTATTGTTAGTTCACGCCCCGTATTACGAAATTTACATACCGTAGGGCAGTCCCCGTCGTTTTTCCTTTCGACGATGAATCATGTAGTCAAACCCAGCCATGTTCAATGGCGTAGTAGCTGCGCTTCACTGTAGTTCGAGCTTTCAAACAAGTGAAAGCTCTGCATTCGTCGGCAGCTGAGAGATTCGCTGACAAAAGTGGTAACAAAACTTCTTAAAAATTCAATTTTTTCCTCGACGGTTAAAAGGTAATGCTCTGGCTGAGGAATCCGTGAACCATGAACGCAGCTACTGCCCAAAGCCGCTTAGAGAGAAACAAATAATCTTCATAACACACATACAAACACGTCTTCTGCAGGCTAACGAACGACGATCCCAATTTGGCGCAAAATGTTTCTTCGCGGCGAACCCCTTTATATAGCTGTCAATCGCTCATCTGGACCATATAAGACAACCATGGGTAGCTATCATTATCATCATTTATTTTTGTATCCGGATGTTTTTTCATTGCTTTGTTTATCTTCGTTAAGAATATCGTTAGAATCTCCTTCGTTCTCCAGCTATCCTAAATCTTGTCTACGCTTTTTCGTTTGCGCCATAAATACCTCAATTCGCATTCGGTTTCGTTGGAAGTGCCATCTACCACTACATATTTAACATATTGTCGCTGTTAATACGTAAAACGGAGGGGAAAACCAGTTCAAGTTTCCGACTTCAAAGGAACTTGAAGAAATTGTCTGCTCGATTGCTTCGTCTTTTTTTTTTGGCCGCCCACTATTTTTTCATTGCCTGTCTTGCGCCGGCTGTCTGCTCACAACAGCCAGACAGACTTTTGATTTTCCCGTCGACGGCAGAACTGAGAGTCGTTCGCTATTATCTGTAGTAAACATTACTATATTATCCCATGGAAGTGGGCAGTTGGTTCAGATGCAGACTTTGCTATTGGAAAGTAATGGCGGCCATTCTTAACTTAAACCAGTTAATACAGCAGCGTCCCGTCACCTACTTTTGTATAGCCCATTAGGATGCTGAGGATGGAGTCGGTATCTGGTACTGAGATCCCGGGACGTGCTCATGTGAAAATTATCCATGTGTATGCCCCAGCAATTTGGTAATCGCGTCTTCTATTTTCGTTTTCACCGAGCACAGGCTGTGATCTTCAAAGTCATCAGCAGCGTCGTAGTTGCACACGTGGCGCGCCACCGGTACTTCCGGTTTCAGAAATTACGCACGTAGATATATCTATAGCGAAAACGGCGTGCTGAACGCCCACCGAAGCGCTAACAAACCAAGGGTATCTAACGGAAAGAAAAGCCAGCACCGTTCCACCATCCTTTTTTCAAACGAAACTTCTCTGGTGATGACCACGACAGATGACTCGTAGCCAAAAACACGTTTTGCCTCAAACAGGGAGCCTGGATTGGTCCGCTGGAACGGCCCCAGCTACTTACCATAAAGGAAGAGACACTAACGTTGTAAATATATCATGACTGTGCCGGCGAATGGCAGTGGCGGTTTTCAGATGGTTTTCACATAAACGTTTGTTGGTCGATCGACGATAGCTTCTCATACTAGCGGCTTACGTCGCGTGTATATGGTCGGCAAAAGATTATCAATAATCTTGCAAGATAGGTGATTACGGAACAACATTGGTAGCCAGTAGAAAATGATCAGAGAAACAGAAACTTCTCGTTACTGGGAAATATGACGCATTCACTGGCTAAATCAAAAAACAGCATTAGTGCTTTTACCAGTGTCAAAGCACCACTGTCAATAGAGATCTAATAATAATGGGTAAAACTGCTAAACACAAATACCAATTGATAGTAAAAATTCCATTATAGTTTCATAGTAGGGTCAGGTAATCGATAACCGATACAACGCGTAGTCCGAGTAGACGTTCGCTATTTATACAATTTATATGTGTTCGAGACGTTTGCCATTGGCCGGCCGTTGGGTGGCCGGATCAATGCCGTTCAAAGAACCTTGACGAAATAACTGCAGTCCAATTAACAGCATCTCAGCCTAGCACTGTCCTTATTATTTTGGCAAAGCAAGTGAATTGTCCAGAATTTTGAATATTTTTGCAATACGCTAATCCCTTGACGGGTAGCGGATGGTCAGTGCTAGGGCAAGTCGCAGAGTTCAAAGCAACACCTAGCCATAAAATACACCATATGGTCTTTAGAAAAAAGTAATTTTCTCGCACGGTGTTCCATATATGGAACATTTGTCGAGATCTCTTTTTGAAAAAAAACGCTGTGGAGCACCGCAGTGGTGCGTCTCATGTCCGCTGGCTGCGGTGGAATGAGGTACGACTGAGATATAAGGGAAACGTCCGCCCGAAATGAATATGCTTGTTCGTGACGGATAACCCAATAATATCTTAAAAAGGAAGAGTGTCCGATCTGGAGAAGCTGAGATAGATATGTGCTGGAAGTCAATCCATACAACAGGCAAATTTACAAACTTTCTAAAGTGTACATCTTCTCAGCTCGTTGACATCGACTATTGTCCCGACAGAATTCGCGGTAGCGTACGTTTAGCGTCGTCAGCTAGCAACCATACGATTGCCAAAGTGCGGACATAGCTGGAAAACACGACAACTACACGACACCAGGGGCTTGCTAACTTCATTGGCATGAACAGCAACCATGGCAGAACTTCAAGGAAGCCAACTCTGCAGCTGACGTGTACGGAAGCGATATGGCGGCAATGAAATCAGATTGGCGACATTCGACAGGGTCGTTCGCGCGTCCTTCCCTTGTTGCGCATCCTGCAGTAACTAGTTAGGGCCGAAAGCCGGCCCGGATTAACGCTGACCTGCCAGTACAGGACGGTTCACGATTGATATTAAGAAAGTACATGATCGTTTTTGACTGGAGTCAGACGGGTCTAGCCAGACACGATGAAGATCTCATGACAAAGTTGATGAATTCATGATTTCGGCGAACGGCCAGTTGGTGTTGGTGACACGTATAGTGCAAAAGCGACACAGGCATAGGGTCCATCAATTTATCACGTTACTAGCGCTTCTGTTCAGTGACTATTGAGTAATAATGGAAGCAAGACAGCAGAACGGTTGGGGAACACCCCAGCTAAGATGAAATTCGCCTTCTGTTTTAATCTGTTAGCAGTATGACAACAGGCAATTGGTATCATGGACGGGATACGTTGACTATACGTGTTCATCGGTTACTAGAGGAAACACCCTTGTGTGAATACAGAGGCAGTTCGTGTAAGTCAAGATAGACTTACCAGTTTGAAAATTGCTT